GTTAAGGAAGAAACAACCACTTTTATGGAGAAAGTAAAAGGTTACAGCAGGATTGCCACTGGCTTCTATTCTGAGCCATATCTGATAACTTCTCTAGCCACTGTGTAGCACCATCTCTCGGACCCCAACCAGGGAGTCGTGAAGGACTGACACAAGCCAGTCCTTTGCAGCTTTCTTTCATACCACGACGCCATATCATATACTGACCACCTCTCCTCTTTCTCCAACCAGTCCCAGAGTCGGCAAATAATGCACGACGTGGAATTCTCTGGGACGACATTCGGAGAACATGTCCAAGCCACCGAAGTCGGTGTTTCAAGATGGTGACACCAATTGCATTATCATCTCTGTGCCCGAACACACGATGCCGAACCTCTGCATTAATAACATGGTGTTGCCACTGAATGTCAGCAATCCTTCGGAGACAGCGATGATCGAACACAGAGAGTCTTCTAACGTCCTTAACTCGGAGAGGCCAGGTTTCACAAGCATAGAGCAGAACTGCTCTCACCGATGCGTTGTAGATCCGACCTTTTAAAGCCAGACTAACATCACGAAGGCGCCAAAGATAGCCCAGATTGGCATAAGCAGCTCTGGCTTTAACAATATGTGCATTGATCTCATCACTCACACCCCCACCAGCACTTATGCAGCTACCCAGGTACACGAACTTCTCGACTACTTTTATCTGCTCACCATCCAGGATGAGTACAGGATTGGAATCCTGTCAGTCTTGTAGAAGTACTTTGCACTTCTAAGGTGCAAACCACATACCGTACCTACGGACACTCATTGCCACTGATTAAGTGCGGATTACATGCCTTGGGCATTATCGCACAGTAAGACAATATCATCCGCATACTCAAGGTCGAGAAGTCTTTCTCCAGGCAACAGATCCACACCACCATTACTTACATTCATCAGAGCTGTTTCCAGAATGTCATCGATGGCAAAGTTGAAGAGGAATGGTGAGATTGGGCAACCCTGTCTAACCCCACTGCTCGAATGGAACAATGGAGAGAGGTGGTTGTATGCACTCACTCTGCCTGAGGTGATTTTATATAAGGCTTTTAGGATGTTAATAAACTTCTCAGGCACACTCTTCTTCAATAGACAATTCCAGAGAACAGTCCTGACCAACGAATCGAAGGCAGCCCTGATGTCAAGAAGCACTACGATTGTTGGCCTTTGATAAGTATGATGGTGTTCTAACATTTGGCGGAGGGTGAAGATATGATCAATACATCCTCGACCAGAACGAAACCCAGCCTGCTCCTCGCGAGTCAATCTTTCTCGGGTTTTGAACAACCTACGAAGTATGACGGAAGCCAACAGCTTGGATGCAATCAGAAGTAGACTTATCCCCCGATAGTTGTTGCAGGAACGACGTGAACCCTTTTTAAAGATAGGGACAACTATTGACTCACTCCATGACGTTGGTACACCCTCTGGTTCCCAGACTTTTGTAAACAATGTCGTCAGTTTCTTAGTCAGAAAGTCATCTTTAAAAAGAGCCGGAGGTAAGTCATATGGGTCAGGTGATTTGTAGCGCCCAATTTCGCTACGTAACAACCTTCGTTTGTGGTCAAACTCACGGTCACCTGGAGTAGACCGACGGGCTTCAATGAGTTGTAAGGAGCCCTAAGAAACCCAGTGCTTATAAGCGGGATATTTCGCAAACCCACAACTGACTGTACCCGCCATTTTCATGGCGTCATGCAATTGCAACCAATGCTCATCTATACTTTTCGGTGGAATGGTAGCTAGCCTAGAAGCTAGCTCGGTTTGATACTTACTTGCAACAGAAGTTGCAGCCAACTTGCTAACATCAATCCTTTGGTGGCGGTCACTTCGTTGGCCACTGGAAAGTAAGGCAAGATTTGCGCAGACCACGGCATGATCAGAGTCCAGATAGGTACTCCAAAAGGAGCGGAGGTCTTGTACACAACCACGCCAACGGTAGCTGATCGCGATGTGATCAATCTGAGTCCAGGCTTGGGATGCAGAGGGAGGACGCCAGGTGGCACATCGGCGATGACTGTGCCGAAAGTTAGTGCTAGCCAAAAACAGGTTGTGGTCTGTGCATAGTTGCAGTAGACGGTCCCCGTTATCTGACCTGCGACCAACGAGTCCCCATCGGCCACCCAAACGACTCTCTTCTGTGCCTAGACGCCCGACCTGAGCATTCAAGTCTCCGGCTAGTACTACAATATCTGTCGAACGCACTTTCTGGAGAAGAACAGATAACTGGTGGTAAAACTCATCCTTGATTGTATCCGGGCTGCAATCTGTCGGGGCATAGGCGGAGATGACGAAAAGACATCGTTTCTCACACCGATTTCTTCTCTTTTTGATGGAACACTCTAGTCTAACAGCACATAACCGACTGTTAATGGGGATCCAATCGATTAGTGCTGCCTCAGCTCTAGCGCTTAGTGCGACACCAACGCCAGCAAGACCAGACGAAGATGCCACAGGGTCCCCGGATAAGCGCACGTAAAACAAGCTTTTTGAAGTGACAGATATAGAGAGAATTTGTAGTACTTCACCAGAGTCTTGAATACGGTCTCGGATAGACAACAAACATTAATATGAAGACTTTCCAAATAAATAGCCAGCCCTATCTGTTGTCCGACCTGCATAAATGTGCGAACGCTGAAGGCAGCCAGTTTGGATGGTGCACGTGGTTTCAGAAAAACTGCTTCAGTACTCGTACTTGGTGGTAACATACAATTTTCAACCGGACAGTGACTCGAGAACGTTTAGATACAGTCGAATTTCCACCAAAGACGAACTGCTGTATAAGTATAAAAGAGGGTGAATAATGTGGAAAATAATAATAATAATGACAATAATAGTAATAATAATAGTATTAATAATGACAATAATTGTAATGAATCAATTGATTGTTTTTCGAAGCGAGAAAAGTAATTTCCATAAACATAGAGAGTTCATCATTTGTGTGTGGGCTGTGATACTGCCCTGGTGCCCAAACCGAAGCAGGTGGTTATCTTAGGGGGCCACACCCCGAGCCTTTGACCTAATGGTCTAACCCACAAGGCAGTGGAGCATCGTAAGGAGATGCAGTCCCCTGGTAGCCGGTGACCAACAATTGGTTCATACGCCATTTGTTCCCGTAGGATACTGGAGCCCATGTGCACCATTGGTTTGTGATCCGGTTAAAGCGCCGGACATTCGCTTTTCGTCCTTTCATTTTTGTAAACAACACCTTCACCACGAGAAGGCAGTGAGTAGGACTTCCCTGGCAGAGGCTGTATACGCGTGGCCGTGTGAGAGTATTTCGAGAGGGAGGACGAACCCACCTTGCTCTTGGTCATACCAGGGCATTTAGGGGCTGCTTGAACACAGTACTGTAAGTGATCCTGCATAGGTGGGATATAAGATTCGAAACATCTTGTCAAAGCATTTTAATGCTCGGCGAAGTGACTATAGCGCACAAAGCCCTTTGGGAGCTGCTGCGTTGCAATACGTAGTTGTTTTCAAGTCGTGACTTATTATTACTACCCCTAAGTCTATATTCCTGCACGCATGGAGATGTACCTTCAATAGTATACTGGTAACTATTTGCCGTGTCCTATGTTCATGAACACACTCTTCCTAGAATTAACTTTTAAGCCCCAACATCGAGCCCATCTAACTAATTTGTCTAGGCCAGCTCAAAGATCCAAATGATCAGCCTCACTTCTTATTGTTCTCCAGATTTTTACATCAACCACAAACATCAACTCAAACTGCTCAATAAATATAAATACGTCACATAGACCTAAAAGCAAACAATGGATGGGTAAAATGTATCCACTTTACAATTAGTTAAACAAGAGGATATATTTCCCAATCATCTGATGGACAATTAAACAATCGTGTCATCGCAATACCAAAGACAACGAGTTCCCACTCATGTTCACGAAGCACTACCCTTTACAAATCCACAATAAGTTGTCTAACAGGCCCCCAAATGCTCTGGTACTATCGAGAGTGGGGAGATACTGCTCTCCCTCTCGAAATGCTCCCACATGGCCACGAGTGTACAACCACTGACAGGGAAGTCCTACTCACTGTCTTCTCGCAGTGGGGGTGTTGTTTACGGCATTGAGAGGACGAAAAGTGGATGTCTGACGCTTTAATCAGATTAGTGGACACGGAGAGTTCACCTAGGAGAGTTGGAAAACCCTGATTCCAAACCAATGGTGCACATGGGCTCCAGTATCCTGAAGGAACAAATGGCGTGTGAAACAATTATTGGTCACCGGCTACTATGGGACTGAATCTTGTGACGTTGCTCCACTGCCTTGTGGATAAGACCTTTATGTCGAAGGCTCCGGATGTGGCTCCTTAATAGAACCATCTGTTCGGTCTGGGTACCCAGGCAATATCACAGCCCTCACACAAATCAAATGATATTTGTGTGGCGCTTATGTATCTGGTGCCCCCTTATACCAATATCTATTTGTTCAAATAAGTAAATGTCTAACAGTTTTTGATGCTTTTGATGTATAGTAATTCCTCAGTTCAACGAAAATGTGTACGTTTTCATACGATTTGCAGATGCTTCACTTTTCAGTAGATTTAGTGTTGATAGAGCCGAGTTCAAGATCATTTACTGTCTTGAGTTGCTTTTTTGTGAAAGCTAGTGATACTATCCAGTTGTCCAGTCATAAGTATGTGGGGCGGGATGTCAACTTGTAACCTAGTGGTTGAAAGTCTAGTGCTTTTCACTCGTAATATATCTCATACATGTTCGGTAGATGATTTGTTGTCGTCGCCTTAAGTCAGTCCTCTGTTCATACTAGAACTAGTTCAAGAAAAGAATTTTTTCGCTTTGAATTAAAATAATATCACATCCTTCACTTTAATTTTCGGAATTTTATTTTCTACTATGAGATCTATTTAGCATGCTTAAAAAATTCAAGTATTTTTATGGTCATTTTGATTCGCTTTTTGTTTATTGTATTCTGTTTTCATAACTAATATTTTCGAAGGGCTAAAAACGAATGACCAACAATATCAACTTTGTGTCAGATATCCATTGTGGCCATTCAGAAGCAAAGTTAACTAGATCAAATTCTGACGCACCTTTCAAATCGATACGCAGAGTTCGTTTTCCTGAAGATGACAAACTCATATCAGATTATTTAGAACCATTCCGATTAAGTAATTAAACAATTTTGATTATTTTTCACGAACTAGCTTTTACTTTCTATTTGTGTGAAAATGCTTTGTATCGAATAATTTAGAAAGCAGTGGTGATTCGTTACAAATAGATAACAATAGAATATTGAAGTAACTTTTTATAGTTTTGGTATTGTTTGTAAAATTGCTATTTTCATCCCGATTAAAAGTGAAAGCCAATGTAAATGCTTCTCATTTCCAATCAAATGCACATATAGTTTTTGACACGGAAGTGGTCAAAAACGTTCATGCTGATTTTGTATATTGGATTTATGGGGCGACCACAGCAAACATTTGGATTGATTAGATATTGCGGAAAAACCGTATAAATGCCCCAGATATATTTAATTTAAAGATGAGTGACATAAAAGATAGAAGACTTTATTTTACTTTGCAAATAGTACAATTGTTCATTTTTATAGGATTCATAAACATCTATATCTACCCTCAGCCGTGTCCAAGATATATTGCATAAAAAGGCAGCTCAACAGCTAATCCAATTTAGTTGATCCAAAGTCTAACTAGATCACATAAGTTGAATATTTGTTAGTATACTGATGTACTTACATCCACTGCTGTTAATGAATTCTAGTTATTTAGTTCTTTTTCTTTTTGGATGTTGGGACTGTTTATAGCTTTATTTCAATTTGTTAATTTGCCGCCATTCAGATGTGCGAATCCGATTTGTTTCTCTAGCTTTAGACTACACCTTATAAATATCTCCATAGGTGGTTACATTAAACACAACTTATACTTCGAAAAGATTCGTGATCTGACATGAAATCCTGCGATCATATATTTCATCCCAAAAGTAGACTACTGCATTCAACATCTCGTACATGCTTTGGGTGATTTAAATTTTCTTAAATCCGAATTAGTCTTTCATGTTGACTTGAAAAAGAAGTGTGAACCTTTTCTAAATCTTTATGCCATTATTTCGTACCGATTTCATTAGTTCTCGAACTATGTTCTGTATCTTCATTTACAACTACCATTAACATTATTAATTTGGTTTACTTGGTGTTTTTGTTGTCTCAATAGTTGGTAAGTCATAAAGAACATAGAACCTGGGAGATTTGTGCATCGGTCGAAGTTTCTGTACCCTGTTTGCATAAAGGGATGGAATTATCAAGACGAATACCAGAGTGGCTTTAGTTTAAGAGGTACTGAAAAAGATTAACTTAATATTAGTGGGACATTTGACAGCCTGGGTTGATGCTCACTTATGCACCTTTCTGGCAAGTAGTTACTATAGCGTAAATACAATCTTTAAATTGAGTATGATATGTCTTAAATTGCTCAATCATTTGGTTTGTTAGATTTTATATTTTTGGTGTTTACTTAACTTAGTTTTGTCCTGTCCTTTTATTTCCTGTAGCAAGCATTATTGTTTTAACTAGTATTTTCATTTTGTTCCTTCAGTTCCAGATAATTGTTCAAGTGAAGAACTTCAGGCGGCGTACTTTTCTTCTTGTTTTGAGCATAGAATAACTCCCATTAATTTTTTGTTAGAACAAATAAAGGTGAGCTTTTTGATTATTTAGTGTAATTTTATTCTTTATTTAAACACATAAACATTGGTACAAGACGGCATCAAATGTATATGCACCACACCTCGTCATTCGATTTGTGTGGGGGATGGGATACTGTCCGGGCGCCAAAACTGGGGCAGATGGTTTTCTTAGGAGACCACTTCCTGAGCCTTTGACCCAGAGGTATAGTTCACCAGAAGTGGAGCAACGTTGGGAGATGCAGTCCCATGGTAGCCGGTGACCAAAAACAGGTTTATGCGATGTTTGTCCCCTCAAAATCCTGGAACCTATATCCATCATTGGTTTGTAGCCAGGGTTTTCTAACTCCACTAGATGGATCCTCCCTATCCATCAGTCCGGTTAAAGCGCCCGACATTCGCTTTCCGCCCTCCAAATTTCGTAAACAACACATTCCGCGAGAAAGCAGTGAGTGGGACTTCCGTGACAGTGGCTATATACACGTTGCCATGTGAGAGGGAGAGCGGACTCTCTCCATCCTCTACCGTACCAGGTCATTTGGGGTTAGTTTAGTATAAAACTGGAGTGAAATCGTTTTTTTTTCTGTGGTTATTCATGAATGGTATTCTGCCTATAATTTTATCCTATACAGAACTTGTTAAAGATATTAGTTTAAACATTATACTAGCAGAAACTGATTTAAGGCAAAGTATATTATTTAGAATTATGGCATGTGTATTTAGGATCATTTTTAATATAAAATGAAATAAAATCGTTAATGTTGGGATGACTAATATAAAGTGTTAAGTTGTGAGATAAATAATCAAAATAAATATGATTAACATGGAGTGCTAGAGATAATAATGTAATTACTAATCAGAAATCACGTAATATGTAGGATAATATGGATTGGATACGAATCGATACATAAGAGCGAATGCTGAATCAGTTTCTTACACACGTTGGCAGGTGTTATAATAACAATAATATGTATGGATAATATAAGTTTAAGCTATTAAAATGACTACTGACCAAATTACATCACCATATCATAACTAGACTCAAAGCTCTGGCTTTTTGATCCAAATAGCTATTGATTCAGCCGCCTGAAGGATTCCTAGTCTGACGGATTTAGATAGGTTGCTGTTAACACGGTATATTATTGTGAAGGATTGCTCCATGTTGGCTGTACTAAATTAGCTAAAATCGAGTTGTTAGTAGTTTCAACTATACGTTTGCTTAACCATACCGGTAGGTGCTCACGAGCCCGAAAATGCAAATCTCCAGAAAACTGATGTAATTTGTATTAAACCTGGATATTTTTTTGATTATTAATTTGGGTATATAATTGTTATGATATGCATCTACCACTTATCACGTGATAAAATCTCCAATTAGAACACTGGCTTATATGACCTAGTTCCTGCGCCAAACCAATGACACGTCAACCAACACTAGCAACCCTGAGTCAACTCTGGATCCTTATTGGTCCTCAAAATAATAACGTCTCGCATAACCTCGCCTGTCCAGAACATAGACTTAATCTCCACTGAATGAATAAAGTATTTAAGGCATACGTGGTTTATATACCAGCAGACTTAGCTATATACATAACGAACCAATCAAATCGTTGCCTAAGCTCCCACCACGTTAATCTGGTTTGATGTGTCTGTAAAGTATCCCTGCTGCATCTGACCTACCAATTAAAAGACATTATTACCCTATTATATTAGTATGATTCATAATTTTTATTCATTTCGATAAGATGGGTAATACTGGTCGAAGCTTTTGAGGATTTGTCCTATAGATATACTACAAGAACTGTTATTTATTTATTTCAACACATAGATATTGGTACAAAGAGGCACCAAATACACATGCTCCACACAAATCTTATTCGATATGTGTGAGGGCTGTGATACTGCCCGGGTGCCCAGACCGAAACAGGTGGTTATCTTATGGGGCCACTCCCCGAGCCTTCGGCCTGAGGGTCTGATCCACAAGGCAGTGGAGCATTGTAAGGAGATGCAGTCCCATGGTAGCCGGTGACCAACAATTGGTTCATACGCCATTTGTTCCCGCAGGATACTGGAGCCCATGTGCACCACTGGTTTGGGATCCGGTTAAAGCGCCGGACATTCGCTTTTCGTCCTCTCATTTTCGTAAACAATATCCCCGCCACGAGAAGGCAGTGAGTAGGACTTCCCTGGCAGAGGCTATATACGCGTGGCCGTGTGAGAGCATTTCGAGAGGGAGAGCGGACTCTCCCCACTCTCGGCCGTACCAGGGCATTTGGGGGCTGTAAACGCGATACTGGCGATCCCATAGTCTATGTGAAGGTTATAGTTAAAACAAGGACAACTTGGTGAAGAGGTCTCACCAAACAAATGTACTTTCATGCTATAGGTTTCTGGTTCATTTCTTATGTCACCCTGTGGCCATCACAAAAATCTAAGGGTATCGCGATCCTATGATGAAACAATCACTTGATTAAACATAGCTTCAATATCTGTCATGAGACCTACTGGTCACGCCGAAATCTGATGAAAACATCTTCCAGATTGTTAACTAAATCTGAACCTGAATACACGTTTTTATTCAGGGACGTCTCGGTGTATTGTGCTGCATAGTTGAATACGATTCTTAGCTTATTAGGTTTTTTCGAACGGAAAACAGAGTGGTGCAGTAAATACCAAACCCGACACCTAATGGAGTTCTCTATAGTATTCTCGGCGTAACTCCGTTCAACATACTGTGCCATCATATTAAAATATTCTTTATGCAACCTCTGGCCACGGATGAGCCGGTTTCTCAAGGAATTTAATCTACTTATTGCTAGTTTTCTATTATTAGGTAGGCTTTGTTGGTGACGCCAGGGTAAAGCTATTTGGTAATGCCCGTTCACTAACTGTATAGATTTGGACATAGCATCCAAGGCTTTACAATCTTCAACCGACATGAGCACACGGTGATTTGGGTCTTCTTCAAAGCCCATCTTATATAACTGGTCTAATTTTGCTTCTAGTTGATTTTAGACGATAGATAATTTATGATATATCTCTTGGTCTCATTGTAAGGTCCAAACAACGTCCACCCTAAAGGAGTTTTTATAGCGTATGGCTCGTCAGATTTTCCCACTCTCTTCTCTTTTATTTCATGCACCTCAGGCAAATTACACCCCATTGGTGTTTTGACGCCTTCGTTGCTAACTCATGGGAGGGTCACGTTGCGCTAGTGTGAGACCACGATGCCATCTGAGATATCATTGGTAACGTCCTACATAACATAGGTAATCTCTCGACTGTACATACCTTTGGGATTCTAAGTGATGAAGACGAATATAAAGAGGAAACTTCTAGTCGAACCACTTTACAATGAAATGCGGATTGGCTATCCAGCGTTTTCAATAAAAGCGTCTTAGATTCTAACTAGCTAGAAGTTTTGGTTTATATATATATATATATATATATATATATATATATATATATATATATATATATATATATATATATATATATGCAATCAGTGACCGCGCAAATCAATTATACACAGTGTGAACAGGCCAATCCATTATATAATAAGATATGCAAACACAGGGATTGGTTTTTCATATATATAAATAATTTCTGTTACAATAATTGTTTTATTGTTTCATAGGGAATCGATTTATCGATTTGTAATGAACGTTACAGTCGTCTAAGCCTAAGAGGTACGTTTTTATATTTATAATTGTTTATTTATTCTATTTGGAAGTAATATGTATACCGTTATGCATATCGCTGTATACACACATAATTCACGTTATCCGTTTAGGTGTGTCTCATTAGTTTGTGGAAATAAGGGTCACTTGCAATTCTTTTCATCAGATTGGTGACCAGGTTTATATCTCTATTGGTGTATGTTTATAGTTTCCGAGTTGATTAGGTACATAGGTACACAAGATTAGACTGAAGGTGGGGATCATTTGATTTAATTCTTATATTTAACGGGCTAATGAAATAATTGATTCATTAATTGGAAACATGTAAAGCTTAATACAAGAATGCATCTAATCAAGATGGTTACTTTTCAAAACAAATATAGTTACGGAAAGTCAGCAGAGATAAATAAATGAGTATGAGTATGTTAATGATTTATATGCTTGTCTGGTTATTATCAAGATTAAGCCCGACCCAATCTCGATGTGTATGGTTTTTCAAACACATCTCAGATCGTTAATTTATGACGTCATGTACTCCAACCCCCTTCAGGTTTCCTCCATTGTAATAATATTGAATTTCACATACAAGTAGACTAGTTCAGTTTAGTACGTTTAGTATTAGTACAGAAAGAGAATAACGAGCAAAAATACATGCGAGCAAATGCGAAAATGAATAAACGAATAGATGTTTAGTAATGAGATATTCAAGGCTTATTAGAATAGCTTGCTGATGTGGCGTAATAGAATGAAGATAAAAAAATACAATTAGTTTATGTCACAAGAGGATGGTTGGTAATATAATTTTGTTAAGTTACGTTGGCATATAGAAACTTCCTAAATACAGTTTTAACAATATTGCTATTCAGTGGCTTGAACTGTTCAACGGAAGTCATAAAAGAAACCGATGGCGAGTCTTTTGTACTTTTCTGTTATTCTTCGAAAAATGGCATACATCCAAGATAAATGAAATCTGTCATCTCTTCCTTTTCTCCATTTAGTATTTTTATATTTTCGTCATTTACGTTATTTTTTTCTAGTTTCCTCTCAATATTCTTATTTCACGTCATTCAATGTAATTGTTGGAACTCTATTTATTGTATTATAGTTGCTGGCACTATGTCAAGCCCACATAGGTTATTCTAGCCTCTTGACAGATCAGTCTGTTCATTTATCTCAAGCCACATTTCGACTCTATCAATTATTCGCTTATTAACTCTGACCGTTTTTATATGATCACATATATGTTAATTACTTACCCTATTCATTATGTGTCTGTAACTTATTTTTGTTTGACTATAAATATCGAGTCACGCTTGATTAAACCGAGTTGGCTCACTCGCCTTCTCCATGGCGCGTTATTTCGTTTCGCTTCGTTTCTATGATCGTCTGTCAGGATCAACGACTGTATGAAATATACGTATTCAAAGTCCATTCTCGTATTTGACTTATTTTATTCCGTTATTCACTAGCGCGATTTAAGTCGATTATCATATACAAGGGTAGCCGAGATATATATTTCGATACGGATTATTCGTACGATCTAATTGGCGTCAAGATAAACGGTCACTAAAATATACTTCATGATTATTATCATATTTTTGTCTTTCGCTGAACTTTATCTTTAGCGAACGAAACATGTTTTGACAGACCATAACTTTCTCTTCGTAGCATGTAACTTTCACGTTATCCACTAGAGATTGGCAATCTCTGTTAACGTACATATCGTATTTTTTCTAACTGAATCACATTTCTTTTCTTATTGTCTTGCATTCCAGTATTCCATTAATCAATAGGCACTTTCAATAATGCTGTGCTTTGTCTAGATCAATGCATACATGCTCTTCACTTTCTGTTCTTTTGAAATTACATTCTCGCTACTAAACTACGTATTATTTGGCCCTTAATTGATTTGTGAATATGTCATCAGTGTTATCCACTAGTTCTTTGCTCAGACTATTCCATTATCATATTTTCGTAACTTTTTCTTTTGAATTGTCTCTATACATGAACCATAAACCAGTTTTATATTTGATTAGTTCCAGAATTCTTTTTTTTCTGTGTTTATCTTCTGATGTATCACATTGATCTCAAAAAAGTGAACATGTTTATCTATACATATATTGATAGGTAGCTGCAAAACGTTTTCTTTTTTTAAACACTCAACATTGATGAAGAAATAGGTAAGGCTTACCATTAAGATTTTTTTTGCATGAATCAGAATGTATATATGTGCTGCTAATGTAGATACACTTCATATACATTATATTAACATAGACATCTGTAATATGGATTACACCCAAGTTATATTGCATACGTAATTGTGTGATAGTATGAAGTGATATTTTTCTTGCAACAAAGAAATAATTGTCAGATGTAATAAAAGAACTATAGTAATGATGTTATAAAAATGATATCTACTGGTCACCTTTGACAATCTAATTTGTTTTCGTTAGATAAATGAGTTTTTTTATGTTGAATTAAAGTGTCTGCAAGCAATAGTGCCACTTCCACTGATTATATCATTTTGACATTTTTGTTATCAGCTTTGTTAATTTGCTTTCCCTTTGGTGTTGTAAAGTGCATTCACTTGAACAAATATAGATTCAGCTTAAGTTAATTCTTTTAGATAATATTGAAACTCAGTAGATTATATTACCATCATTCATTTCGGAAGAGAATCAATCGAAAACTAACTCTTCTCTTAGAGCACACATATCAGTCGCTGATCATACTGTTATACTGGCACACTTTCCTCCACATCTTTCCAAAGAACAGGAAGATATGTTAGAGTATAAAAGTGTAAAAATGTATTAAAGAACAACTTGAAAAGGGTATTTGTTCCCATTAATCGAAATATTCTATTTATCTATTTAATTGAATTGTAGTTTTGTTTTGCTTCTATTCTAGGTATTCGATTGAATCGATTTCATATTGAATCAATGGAGGCAATATTTCAGCGTGCACATTTTAGAGTAATTGATCTAGAAAATACATTTTTAGACGAACAGGTGACTTCATATCGTTAGCTAGTTATATATATATATATATATATATATATATATATATATATATATATATATATATATATATATATATATATTACATGCTAAAGCTGGTTTTCTTAAGAATTTTGTGTAATGCTCTATTCAGTATATACAATAATTCATAAACGCAGTATCATTTAAATCATCAATCTATTGATTAGTAGAGAAATAGAGTGATGTGATGTATTAATAAAAGATGTTAGTCTTTTGCCAATTAAAACATGTAAAATAAAAAATATGTTGGAGAATGTATATGTGTGCGTGCAATACGTTTTATCAAAATATCGAAATAATGGTTAACGAAACAGATTCCTATGAATATGCATTAGGTTAAACTAGCCCTTTTACAGTCAGAGATTGGGACTTTTGTGGTCCTCAACGAATTCAAATTCGAAGTGTATTTCATCAGATTTTGAGTTAACTTGCAAAGCAACATCTGTCGAGATAACCTCTTCAAGGTGTCGGTAAACGTATCCCCAGTATTGGGAAAGTTTAGTAACTTACCAATAAGCGTCCGAGCTAAGATGTGTTTCAGATCAAATTCTTCGGCTAGTGTTTCGAAGGCTTTACAGCAGCCAACTTCCGACTCTACTAGGGCCCAGTGTGCTATGACTGCCTTAGCTTTGTCACAACACTGAGTAACGTAATTTAACTTTCCAAATGCGATACTCTGGTTAGCGACACACTCTTCGAAACTCCTCATAAAATTCCAGCACTTTGCAGAGTCGCCCTCGAATTTTATAATTTTTCTCTTCGGAAATTTCAAAATGTTCATTATAATATTCAGTAGATCGATACCAGGATAGCTACTAACTCATGGTGAAACTGATTCGATTTCGCAGTTTGTTTCCTTGTTGAATATTTGTTGACAAGATTTTTCTTGCTGTTTTTAGCTCAGTTTTTTTATTCAATTTCCTTTTTTAATTCCGTTTATCATAGAATAAAAGAGAGCGAAAACAAAGAATTGAGCAGAATAACATGAATTCATTTTATTTCGTTAGGTTGTCATCAGCTGCTTACAACCCATAATAATTATCGTAAAGTCTAAGTGCTTATAACAGTAAAATCAGATGTATATCATCATGGCAGAGTAATGAGATTGAAAACACAAAGTGTTGTAAATATATATAATATAATAATTATAGAATTAATCTTATAGCCGTTCCTGGTCGATACTATGAACCTGTGGACGATTCATGAACAGTTCTGGAAATTCTTCAGTATCACAATACTTATTAGGATGCATCTCAGCAATATGCGTAGTGGTTATTTTAATGATAAATGATGTACTGTTCTAACTTTTGTAGGATTCAATCACTTACAGATAAAGTTTTCTAAGCCGAATAATTTACTTGTTAAGAAGAAATAATGTAACCTGTTTATTAAGCCTAGGTTTATTTACTCAGACTAAGTCTTATTGTTTATATGATGACATGATCGATATGTCCAAGTGGAATTAGTTAAAGTGGGGTTTGAACTCGTGACTTGTTAAAAGCGAATTGCTGCCTTTTCAATATATCACCGTTTACCAATATAAAATCTTATTTTTTACCAGTCAAATTATCAGTTAATAAACGTTTTATTCCTAAAAAACGTTGTATCATGTAACTAAGTTCCTTAAGGGCTTGTGATTTACGACTGGTAAATCCATGTGTTTATCGTCCACATAATTGTTCTTAAAAATGACCTAATTATCCTTGGATGAACACAGCATACTCTGGACTGCTAGAAAATCACCCAATTAATCTTCGACAAAATTATTGGTAAACACTGATTTAAAATCATAAAAGAGGATATTACCATTTATTTTATATATGTTTTTTTCTATGCCTCTTTGATTTAAATTATTTCTATAACTTGTTTCAACCTGTGTATAGTAATATTCGTGCGTGTTCTATAAGTTGTGCGCATCTGTCAGTGTCTGAAGTCATTTATTTAAGATGTACGTTCGTATTTATAGTTATATGGTGAATATAAATTCTGACTTCGGCGCTGGTTTACAAAACAACTTTCAACCAACGCCAAAAGTCAGAATTTTCAATACAAATGTCACGACAGTTCTACTGTATGGGGCGGAAACTTGGAGGACTATGAAATTTATCATCTAAAAGATACAAACGTTTATTAACAGTTGTCTACTTCGGATCAGTTGGCCAGACACTATCATCAACCACCTACTGCGGGAGAGTACAAACCACATTACAATGGAGGAAGAAATCAGGAAGAAGCACTGGAAGTGAGTAGGACACACATCGAGGAAAGCACCTAACTGCATCATAATCGAATGCATTTAACACAAAATTACAGGACTTGTTAATAAAATCTAACGATCATAAAGTAGATGCTTAATTTGCAAAATGTCCATCAGTTGTCCCAAAACGACTCAGACTTCATTGTTCTTGCATTTTCATACAAATTACATCCTGTTTCCATTCTTTACTGTTCGATCCTCTTGTCTCTCTGCTGCCAGACATTCTGTTCACGAGCAACGTCATATATTACTTATATCAATATAAGTAGCACACACCGCAATATATTTACTACTAAACAACTGCAAATACGAATGTACAGCCTAAGCAAATGATTTCGTCCAAAAGAAAATTTTCTTCGTTGAATTTTCTTTATTTTTACTTGTTTATATTCTTTGTTGCCCTATTTATTTTTTTCATCTATTATTTTCATTCTAGTCTGCTTCGTCACTGTTTGATATGTTACTGCATTATGAAAGTTGTACAGATCTAAGTATAAGTTTAAATTTAAACAAAACTCTTCCTAGTCAAGCTTGGAGTCGTTGTGTTAATTTCATTCGAAAGGTACGTGTCCCATTGACTGTGTGAAAAGATTAAGTTTTCTCTTTAATTCGTTCATTGTGATTTCATTTTTCTACATTATTTATTGTTTGTAGTACAACCAAAAGGTAACCGAGTGAAAGCTTGAGATTATCTTCACTACAGTTTTATATCAAAATGAGTGTTCAGTGGACTGAATTATATTTTTTAACAGATTAAAAATTGATGATGATTAACTTGTTCATTCTCATCTAATTAGCTTTCGTTGAATTTTACGCTTAAGTGTTCTATTCTTGCACAGCATGATAAATTAAATGGTATTTCTTTAATACATTGTACAATTTGATATAGTTTGTTAGTTATCCCTATATCATTAAAATATTTTACCAATACATAACCACCTCAATACATCGTTCTCTAGTTGAATCACATCTCGATAATATAGAAAAAGTTAAATGAAATACATACACATACAGGTAAAGCACCACAATGTTGAATATATCATTAAACATTAGTAAATATGTTTTACAGGTTAAGTGTACGTCGTTTTCACACTTGTCACACCTCACCTTACCTCACGGATTTCCGTCTCCGGCGGTAAGGCCCTTTGAAGAACGGATCTAACACGATAAAAACTTCCCACAAAATGACTGGCAGAGCACTTTAGGGATTAGTTCAACTGGGCTTCATCCACACTTCGGTTTCCCACGGTCTCCAATCGATCTGAATGGCAAGTTAATGTAGGTCCTCCGTCTGTTTACGAAGTTGAAAAGGCTATAGGAAATCTGAAGCGAGGGAGAGCAGCAGGCCCTGACAGGTTTACTTCTGAGAGTTTTAAAGATGGTGGTCCAGTATTACCAGTGAGATTGACTGAGGTCTTAGGGAGGATTTGGGAACTGGACGTAATCCCATCTGATTGGTCTCAATCACTGTTTGTGCCAGTCTATAAGAAAGGACAAAAGTCCTCTTGTGACAATCACAGAGGAATCAGTTTGCTTATATATTGTCTAGAATATTAGTTTCAATAATACTTCGACGCCTAAGTAAAGCTCGCAAAGAAGAGACTAAAGAAAATCAGACTGATTTTCGACCTGGACGTGGTTGTATAGACCAGATATTGACAATACGTCAGGTTCTAGAACATAGACATACATTCAGACGCCCCACAATGGTAGTATTTCTCGACCTTAAGGCAGCATTCGACTCTGTTGATCGTGAGGTTCTATGGCGGTGTTTTTCACTAAAAGGAGTACCAAAGAAGTACATTAACCTTGTAAAAGGCTCTCTACTCGAACATAACTGGTCAAGTGAGAGCTTATGGCGAACTGTCATCAGAATTGATTACCTCAAGTGGTGTTCGTTAGGGCTATCCACTCTCTCCTTTCTTGTTTAACTTTGTCGTTGACGTGCTTTTAGAGACAACACTTTCCTCATTTAAATTTCCAGGGGTTGAACTTCTACCAGGAGATTCACTTTTTGACTTAGAATATACCGATGACATAGTTTTATTTGGCGAAGACGCTGACAAAATGCAGAGTCTTCTGACCACTCTAAGCAACAATGCAAGCATGTTCGAGATGCGATTCTCCCCCTCGAAATGCAAAATGTTGCTTCAGGATTGGGTTGCATCGACACCCGAACTAATGATATGGAGTGAAGTAGTTGAGCGTGTCGACCGCTTCACTTATCTTGGAAGTCTCACCAGCCCTTGTGGTTTGATGTGTGACGAAATCTCAGCACGGATACAGAAGGCTCGACTAGCTTTTGCCAACTTGCGTCATTTATGGCGTAGACGAGATAACCGTCTATCAATCAAAGGACGGGTTTACTGCGCAGCAGTTCGTTCCGTCTTACTTTATGGCAGTGAAACATGGCCGGTAAAAGTAGAGGATATTTGTAGGTTACTAGTATTTGATCATAGGTGTCTTCGAAATATTGCTTGTATGTTCTGGGACCATCGAGTAAGTGACACAGTTGTTAGGAAACGGATACTAGGTAAGGATGGCAAATCAATTGATGAAGTAGTGAAATTTCAACAGTTGGGATTGCTGGGACATGTGTTACGTATGCCCAACCACCGACTGCCCCGACGAGCGATGTTTTGTGGTGTAGGAATAGGTTGGGAGAAAGCTAGGAGCGAACAGACCAAAACATGGCACAAATCCATGAAGTCACTGACAAGTGGACTGAGCCATATTGGTAGGTGTAGACTACCTGGTTGGGGACCGCGAGATGATATCAACCGATGGTTAGAGACCCTGAATGACATGGCTCAAAATCGTTTGCAATGGTGCAGGTGCATCCACTCTTTATATCCTCTCAAATTCTAATCTTCAGAATTCTTCATGTCCCTTTCTTTTTTCTCTTTCCAAATTTATTTCACTGTATTATACTCCTTGAATAACATCTTCAAACCCTAATTTTTCTGATTACAGCTTATAATTTTACTACATTTAGCACTACGGGATTTGAATCGACAACTGCATCTCTGTACTAATGTAGTATGGCAACTCGAAGTGATGTACGTAAGTACGAAGTTCTACGTTGTTACTGACTGATTGACAAACTAATGATGTATGTCCGCTGTAGAATTTTCAGGAAACAAATAACGTACGAACTCATCAAAATTACTGTAGATCATATCACTTCGTTTCCTGACGTTGTTTCACTGCAAATGAGGAAAATTAATATTTCTCTCGATATTAAACTTGACACTGTTTAGTATTATTGTGTTATTTTTCTTACTTCAATCGACATTTTGTGAATAGTTTCAATTCTGAATTATCTTTGTTGGTGAGATATTGATCAAATTCTTATTATAATTGGTTAGTTACTGAGTTGTAATGACCGACTTCATATTTGTCCTAATGATTTAGTCCTAATCAAATTCCAATATGGTCACTAGTATAGGTAATCCAACATCATGTGCATTATATTTTATCTTCATTACCTCCAACCACCTTACAGTTCGTATTATCTTTGGGACAGCAAGAACAAAGATTTGAGCAGAATAACTTTAATTCATTTTATTTCGTTTGGTTCTCGTTAGTTGCTTATAACATGTATTATTTGAAAATAATAATTACAAAATAGGTTCCAATTACTTACATTCTTACTTATTGTCAGCGTTCATTCATTACGTAACTACTTGTATCTAAAACTTTTGACTTTTGTTGCTATCAATGTTGTAGAATCTTCTTTTACACTGGGTAAACATTTACAATATTTTATTTAGTCTATGATATTTATAGCCTCCTTTGCTATACTATACTGATATTTGATCCTATCAACCTCTAACTAAACTCCGTCATTTAAGTAGTTTGACCTCATTTTGTAATTATGATTTGTAGATAATACAGGTTTTACGAAACTGACGAGAACCGAACGAAGTACATCGAATTCATGTTATTCTGCTCAAGTCTTTGTTCTTAAACTCTTCACGATGATAAAGGGAACTATGTGTATTGAAATTCGTAATATTGTTTTCAATCACTATTTTAATTGTTTTTTTAACTTGTATTCTAAATTACCCGCAGATATATTTATAAGTATAATTTTTAAAAATTTATGAGGGTACCAAGTTCATTTCTTTGTTTTATATTAATTTTTATTCAGTCATCTGCTCTACGTCGATTCACATTGAGTCATACTCCATTACGCTTAGAAAATTTTCATGGTCTAAGTTTCTATGGTCTATGCTTGGAACGTTTACATTTTATTGATTGTAATTTAACCGGTCAAGCATTATATGGACTTATGCAATGGTTGTACATCCTTTTGAGTTCAACAAGTTTATATCCACCAACTCGAGACAGATCATGTAATTCAAGTAGAGGACATAAATTTCGTGGTTGGAGACATCGTAGACACTCTTATACTACTTCAGCATTAAATTTATCAAATACAAGTACTACCAACACTATTAATACTAACACTACCACTATTAATGATACTAAACCTTCTATTTGGGAATTAAAATTAGGTTTAATGAATAATAAATTGACTTCTTCAGATGTTGAAGCAATACTACCACTAATTCGTCATCAGCTATTTATTCCAAGAAGTTCGGGACCTGAAACTGTTAAATTTGAAGGTCATAATAATAATAATAATGAAATTAGTTCATCAGATGCCCTTGTAAACAATAGTTCACATACGAAATGTACACAACTGAAAAAATCCAACTCATTGTCGTCATCATCGTGTGATTTTCTTCCAGTTGGAGGGATTGGTTATTTATTGGAGTTGAATTTGTCCCATAATAATATTGGTGTAAGTTGTTCTTTTAGTGTACCAAAAGACCGCACTCTTGTTGTTTTGTCCATACATTCAAAAGGGGGAATAATAACTGGTTAGTTCGAGGGTTTTTTGTTGATTGATAATTTTCGGTATCTGTTGTTCCATCTGACACAATGGTAAATCATTTCAATTCGCTACATTTTGAGATAGATTAATGGGAGAAAAATTCACAAGAACAATAAAATATGCAGAAAATTTGTTAAAAGTAAATAATAATGGATGTTGAGTGTGAATTGGACGATACTAGAATAGAGGTTTTAACCTTTAGTTGTGTATTCGAAATTATTATACCGTATATTATTGGTCTTGTTTGTAAAATCGTTGTATTGCAAACTATATGTATCTTAAATAGGTACATATTATCGAGTTTCTTTTGTTTGAGTTTTTTGTCTATATTTTTTAAATGTAAATAAATACCAAAAGCTCAAATATTAAATCATTTGACTCAGAAGAACAATATGAAAACATGTGATGCATAGTTGCGAATCTACCCACACTTAAGCCTTTCAGCATAGCCTCCAAATCTATCAAACATTATTTTATGATTTATTTTAGTGAATAATGAGTAATACTGTATTGCAATTTGGACAGTGTTTATACTGGAATCACTGATATGTAGATTGCTCGTATACTGCTGAATAATTCATAATCAGCTTTCGCTGTCGTATCTGAATTCAGTTTAAAGAGTCCATCTTCCATATGTAGGCTCTAATATTCTTAAGGATTAAAACGATATACTTTTTCTCGCTAAATATAGCGTCTCATAAAAGCCTGTGACGACAATTTAAAAAAACCCCGATAATTCCGGCGCAGTATTATTTCACAATCTACTTTGTATTAATTTATGACTGTAAATTATAACCTTTGAAGACATAAGATGGGATGTTAATACTTAACCTTAAACGTCTTCTATGGGCTACTAGTGTATGAGAAAATCACTGAGTGATTAGTGCAGAGCTTAATTGTGAAACTCTAATTAGATATGAAGGTGTATGCTTTCGTCAAACTAGGTTTCTGAAACACATCTTACATATATACTTGGCTTTATCTTGGAAAAATTTACTGGTTAATCTAGGAGTAGATTGTAAAAAGACCAAAGGTATCTTGATGAAGATATAGGACTGTTACTGTGTACTATATTAGGCGCTGAGATCTTTATGATTAGGTTCCGTAAGATTATTGTTAAATAGGATTGTATATCTTATATGGAAGGTAAACAATATGCTAAAGATAGTAAAGTATTAATACTAATTGAATGAATTGTAAATTTTCATATGAAATAAATTACATGGGATAAGATTTTTTGCGAAAAAGAACAAAAAGACGGAACCGTCCAAAACAATTCAAGAAAATAAAAAAATCAAAAATCGGAGTCATAGTAACAAAACCAATTGTATAGTGTGTCTGTACACACTGATCTAGGTTTCTATGGTATATAGTTAACGATTTTTCTATAAAAAAGAAAAAAAAGATCTACGCTCCCATCTGTCGGTAGATTATGTTTATTCTTATAAACTCTATAGAGGACAAAATAATTCAACGTTGAAGTTCCACTGTGACATGCTATTAAGTAATCTCTAATATGTCGAAAAAATGTTCCTCAATAACAGACAATTATTTTTCTAATTATGACATGTTAATTAAATTCTTGATTAAAAATAAATTCCTCTTTTTAGAAATGTCATTATTTGTTTAATTTATAAATTAAATTTATTGCTTTATTTACATAAAAATTTAAGAATAATCATTAGTTTCTTAATTTTTCATTATTTTAATGTTCATAGGATGATGGTTTAGGTATATTGTGTACTGGACTGCTTCAATCTTATCGAAATCGTTTACGTGAACGTTTCTCTACGTTGAATGATCAAGAAATTCTTAAACTAACCACTATGTCATCATCACTATCAACAGAAAAAAATTCCGATTCATATTCTAATCGCTGTTGTACACAATCAATACCAATGAAAATTTGCAGCTTAGAACGTCTTTATCTTGTAGATAATAATTTAAGCATAGATGGTATGCAATCATTAGCTATTGTATTAATGCAAACACCAAAATCACTAATCTCTTTTGTTGGCGGTTTAATTAGTTTAGATTTAAGTAACAATGTAAATATTGGCGATAAAGGTGTTGAAATATTGTGTGAAGGTTTAATTAGAAACTATAGTTTAAAAGAATTATATCTTCGTTCCATTAATATGTCTTTTTCAGGTAAGTTAATATTGTGTGTATTATCGCTTGTAATTGTAATATTTCCCCATTTAAATAAATTTTAAATGTAACTAATGAACAGTGTAGTTGGATTTTGTTTTACATAATATTGTGTGTTATGTGCAAAGATATACACACTCCTTGACCGCTAAAGTCAAAAGTTCGTACTTACCTACTAATGAACATTGAATGTTAAATGAATAAATTATTGATTCATAGCTATATGTAAAATTTCAAATTTGGTAGTGAAGTTATTTTTTTCATCACTAACTGTAACTGAAGTAGCTAATTATAAGTTCTTGTTTCTACTTCTGTATGCGAGTTGGCTTTTCTATGTGGTTGTCCAAATTGAAGTTAAGGTAGAGAATATTGAACCTTTGTAACACCGGGTTAGCCTAGAAGTTAAGCTATTGAACAATTCCTCTACAGTTTAATTTGATATCTGTTCGTAATGTAATCATGGAAACTAATTTGTGGATCGGCATATTAGATCGGTATTGAGTATTCACTATTTTGCAAAACTTGGAGCCAAAATAGAGCGTCTCTTCGATGCTTTTTTTAACTTTATTACACTTTGTTTTTAATGTATATTTTCATGGTAAATAAGCAGATGACGTATACATACATTTTTGTCAGAACGGTTTCCAATTCCTCCTCCTCTTCTTTTACCTTCAGGATTCCAAGTTAGCTCTTGCTTCGTGATGCAGTCTGGTGATTTCCTCAATATGTGTCCTATCCATCTCCGGTATCTTTTCCTAATGTACTCTTCATCTAGAAGCTGGTTTGCTCTCTCTCACAGTAGGCTGTTGCTGATGGTATCTGATCAATATACATTGAGTATCTTGCATAGACAGATGTTTATAAACACCTGTACATTTTTGAAAATGGTTGTATTAGTTCTCCAAGTTTCAGCTCCGTACAGCGGAACTGTCTTGACGTTCGTATTGAAGATTGTGACTTTGATATTTGCTTACAGTTTTTTGAGTTGCATATGTTCTTCAACTGTAGGAATGCGGCCTCTGCTTTGCCAATACTTGCCTTTACGTTTGCGTGTGATCCTTTTTGTTCATCAATGATGCTACCCAGGTACATGAAACTGTCCACCTCTTCCAGAGTTTCTCCATCAAATGTGATTGGGTTGGTGTTCTCCGTGTTGTATTTCATGATCTTGCTTTCTCTTTTGTGTATGTTGAGGCCCACCACTGCAGAGGCTGCTTCATCTCCACTGCCTATCTTGACCTTCATTTGTTGGTGTGTATGGAGTAGAATAGCTAGGTCACTTGTGAAGTCATCTAGCTGCATACAAGCTGCCTATTGTATTTCTCGTTTTCCGTGAGATGTAGTGGTCTCCGAAATCCAATCAACCATTAGAAGAACGAGAAAGGGTGAGAGTAAGGAGTCTTGTCTGACACCAGTTTTCATTTGGAATCCATCTGTCAACTGTCCTCCATGCACGACTTTGTAGTGTAGTCGGTTGTATGAATCCCGTATGATGTTGAGGGTTTTCTCAGGTACACCATGATGTCGAAGAATTTTCCATAGGGTTCTCCTATTCACGTTACCAAACGCCTTCTTATAGTAAAGGAAGTTGATGTACAGTGACAAATGTCATTCAATTGGTCGTTTAACAATCATCCGTAGTGTCACAATTTGGTCTATACATGTATATATGTTCTTGTGGTCAACGAAGTTACACTTTTTGTTGTTGTATTTCATCCAAAGAATATTCTGACTTTTTGTCTAGGTAGTGGAGCATAACTTGTCGTTTACAAAAGTTCCAAGATTTATTTAATTGTTGATATTTCTTAAATCACATGCTATAAAACCTTATTGAAACTGTTATTTATCGATTGAATGATTACATTTTGTGAAAAAGAAACTTAGTTTTCGTTCAATTTCTTGTCCTTCACTGGTATTGTATTGTAATATTTACTATAAAAGCCAGCGACTAATTAATTTAAATATCCATTTTCCAAATACTGGTTTCCATTTCTAGAGATGTGCTTCATCACCAACACTCAGACAGTTAAAGTATATAGCTCAAACTAAACTGCGCAAGTTTGCACTTCGTAAACAGTTCATATTTGTAGTTAAATTCTACCCACAAGAAATAGGAACCATGGTGTCAAGATTCCAAAAAGAATCTGCTAATAATCCATAGATAAATTTATAGCGTTCATTTAACATAGTTTGCTAATTTCCAATGCAATTTTATGCATATATCCTACAGTCACTAGAACCTTGACTGTTGATTAAGTGTTTGTCGATGAAGATAATTATAAAGCACAAATATATATTGTGCACAAATTTTAATTTCAGTATTTTAAAAGTAATTTTCATAAAAAATGTACTAGACAACTTGGGAGTCACCGGAAACAAAGGAGGCAGTGTTTCATTCTACTGTATACGTTTGTACGGTACTAGTAAAAATATGAATTTGTCCGTAGAAACTGCATAGACCGCAGTAAGTATGATACCTCTAAAGCAGTGCGTTCTTGAAAAGCGGGACAACTAATCATCATCAGTCATACTAAAGCTACAAACAACGAGTTATTGAAAGTAGGTTGTTTTTTGTCGGGGTGGAGGACCAGTTAAATTGATGTTTACATAATCGTACGTTTTCATTTTATGATTTCCTCGTGTAATTACTTTTGTATTAAAGTTTATATCACGTGTATGTAACATCATTTAGCTTAATTCTTTTCATATAGAGGTCACTTATTAAAATGATCATACGATACTAATGAAATAAATGTACCAGTTAACATAGTTTAGATAAGTTACTTATGATTTATGGCAATAAATGTTAATTCCTATATAAATAAAAAAAGTTCAATTCTTTGGTTGACATCAGATTGTCACGAAGGAATCTGTCCTGAAACGTCGAACAACATCAAATTACAGTGTAATACCCATCTTGATTACTGGTTATTATCGTGCTTACGAATAATACATTTTTGTGATACATAATTGATGTCTGTTGCAAGTTTAGTTTATTTTAATGGGTGAATGCGTTTCTCTGATGGAATAACTTATTTAACAATTACGATTCAGCGTCATTATTTTGTTCAAATAGTTAGCAGTTTATTAGTCACTTGGATGTAAATCTCAATCAAATAGATTATTCGAGAGGTTTTTCCACAAACCATTAAACAGTTTTCTTGAGACTTTTGATATGCAAAGTACACTCTATCGCATGCCTAATCAATTTTCGCCTTTTTACTTTAATAAAAACACTAGGAATTTTCGCTTTATCCAGTTTTCTCAGTGAATCAAAGTGTCTAAAGTATTTGGATATACGCAACAATAATTTAGATATAGCCTCTATAATGGCTTTATCAAAAACTTTATTCATTAATAAAACATTAACAAGTCTGGTTTCAGACGCACATCGTTGGGCGAATTCTCAGCTGGATCTATCTGATGTAGGTTCAATTTAATGATATATATATATATATATATATATATATATATATATATATATATATATATATATATAATGGAATATACTCGTTGAGACATAAGATAAGAGAGATTGGTTCAGCCAACAGTCCTCTTTTCGGCAAACTCAGATAGATAAAGAATTATAATAAGAAAGAGAAGGCTCAGAATGATATGGTGTTGAAGTTGAGATGGACTGTAGTCGGGTGAATGATAGGAACAAAAACAAATCAGCTGAGACTAAATGGTCTATAACGATGAATATAGAAGGAATGCAGATTACTGTGAACAAAGAGAAGGGGGAAAAAGAAAAGTTACGAGAGATTAAGACTGTGGTAGAAGAGGAGGTTGTACAAGTTTCTTTAGTACACAAAATTGTGGTCCTTCCAGATATATAGCTAGTGCTTCGATAATGCTAAGAAGATGGAACATAACTGCTTTTGACAGCTCTCTAATTACCTTGTAGATGAATTTGAAAGCAGAGTCCGTTTTCATCGAATGACATGTGTGTTCACAAGGTGTTCAGTTATTGAACTCGGTTTGTTTTACCTCACTGCTATCATGTTTAGCTAAATTTTACTATCACTATTATTATAAATATTACCATTTCAAAAAATAAGTGTATATTTATGTTTGTACAACTTTGAAAATGAATTCTCCGAGAAGTGAACTGTTCACCTAACCAATCGTTCTTGTTTTACATACATACATTTGTTTTAGAAGTTTTTTACCATTGGTTTATATTATTTGAACAACAGTCGGATAACGGATTGTGTTGCATTGCTTTATCACTTTATCTTGAGGTGGTGTCAATGTAGTACATATATATATTTGTCTCTTTAGGAATTAATGCAGTGTGTTTGAATTTCTTGGTTTGATATATTGAGTTATATGAGGATCATCTTACAGAGTATAATCTGCCAAGTTTTAATCAACGTATAACACAACACGTTTATGCCATTATTGTAGGAGATTCTCTTTGGGCTTTAACGTCTCAGAATACTTTAAAATTTTAATATCTCAGGTACCTTTAATAATGTTGCTTTCAATGGAGTTACTGTTTCTCATATTGAGACTGTAGATTTATCTATACTCGTAATTTACTAGTATTTGATCACAGATGGCTTAGAAACATTGCCCGCATCTTCTGGGATCACCGGGTAAGTAATAGTGAGATCAGACGTAGGGTATTACGGAATGATGGTAAATCAGTTGATGAGGTTGTCTTTCTACATCGACTGAGATGGTTGGTCCACGTGTTACGTATGCCTGAACAGTGATTATTACGGCACGCAGTGCTGACTAGTGTTGGATACGGTTGGAAGAGAGTTACTGGCAGTGAAACCAAAGCGTGACATTAATCATTAACTTCTGGTCTGAGCCATGTTGATAGATGCAAACTACTCGGTTGGGGTCCACTCACCTATCGTAACCAATGGTTGGAGACTTGGCGATATGACTCAGAATGGATCACAATGACGTAGGAGTATACACTGTTTATCTTCCCTTAAACCGTGAGATTAAAATTACTTTATACCTTTCTTTTTACGAACTAATTCTTTCTCCCTGTATTATATCTTTATATGCAGTCTTTCTTTAAATATTACTAGCATTGACGCAATCTCTTCTATGAATTTGGTGTTCATCTTGTTATGCTAATGAGGTATGACAACGTGGACTGATGCATATATATGCATGTTAGATTTGAATTACATAATTGGTACACACAGATTTACATCTCTAATTTCAACTAATTCACGATATAGATCATGACCTTAATCCAATGTTATTGACGATATCTCACTCTTAACATGATCAAACTCCACTGGTAAACGTGACATTGTTCTGTTAATAATTATTTGTAGTTTGAATGCCAGATTTTGTTTCGTTTTGGAGGTCGATACCTCATACGAATAGGTTTCGTTATTGGTCTATGCATTATCTATTCAGCTTGTTAACCAATAAAACTCGTCATATACTTCATGCTTATTTATGGAGATAGTTTCTGTGTAGTTGAAATAATATTGATTCTTGATCATCCAATCGAAGTGTCTTCTTTAGTGTGTAAGGCGTTGTTGGCGTTTACCAACTTTTTTCAGTTGTGTAGTAAGTATGAACACCGTTTGCCAAGTGGAGAGTGTGTTTATTGTTCAACATTCGGCTCTGAATCGTGGTCTATGAAAATAGAAGACATACGTAAGCTGGAGGAGTTTGATCACAATTTTCGTAAAATCATTGTTGACATTTATTGGAACGATGAAATGTGTAATGCTGAGGTTTTCCTAAGGGTACTCGGTAAATGTAGCGAATTGGTTGATTAGACAGTGAATCTTTATCGACTTGAAGTGATTAGTACATGTGTTATGTATACCTTATCACCGTCCACTTAGACTAGTGATGGTTGCTAGTGCAGAAGTAGATAAGAAGATAGCTAGGGGCGGCCAAGTCAATACATAGTATCAGTCCATGAAGTCTTTGACTACTGGGCTGAACCATGTTGATAGATGCAGACTACTTGGTTGGAGTCCACGAGGTAATTGTGATCAGTGATTGAAGGATTTGAGTGGAATGACTGGGAATCGTTCACACTGGAACAGGTCCATTCAATCTTGGTGATGTCCATCTGTCTTTAGTTTGTAAAGGTGAAGAAAATGTGAGCTGGAACTAAAACTTCTAATCAATGGCTTTTTAAATAATCTTGACTATCAAATGAACTAATTATTTTAAAAGTATTTTTTTATATTATGTTTTATTATCACTTTATCTTTAAAGTACAATATGCTATCCGCTTACAGACTACTCGAGATGTTGATATAGATATGATTTTATCCTACCTACACTGATTCATAGTTGGTCATTCATCATTAATTTAAATTATATGACATCTATCTGATTGACACTGAACAGATCGATTCTTTACACAAAACTAATGTTCTTCATTTGTTTACGCATTTCCTGATATAATATGGATTTTATAACACTATATTTGTTACGGATTGACATCAGTTTGGACACCATCGAAAATCAGGGGGCACTAGACAGCTGTTTTATACCACTATGAAACTCCTGAGCATTTCACATCCACAATCTCACTGATAATAGAACCTTGAATCTATTAAGATCTCTAACCGAAGTACTACCTACTTAAATATTGATTTAGGATTTACTGAATTATGCGACAATTGTCGAATGAGATTGGTGGTGATTTTTTGATGTGTATCTTAGGTGAGTTTCTCTAGTCACAAATTTTATCCGAGTTAAAGTTGAAGGTTATTTATGTACCAAATTAATTCTTCATTGATAAACTTAAAACCTTGAAATAACCCATACCTTTTGAGAAAGTATGTAAAATTAATGTTATCTGAATGAATCTACAACTATTTACTAAGGTAACTGGTTACAATCGTTACGTTGTATCTAGTGCCAAACATTATTCTTGACAAATAAATATCATTTAAATTTTTTACATATTTACTGTGGAAAATGAAAGACAAGTTCCACTTCCTATTGTTTGTGATTACCATCATTTTTATTAATCAGCACTAATCTTTATGAAGGTTAAGTAGTCCTCATAGGACCAGAGGTTCCTTAACTCGATTCCATGTAGAGTCGTGGATCCACACTGCTGTTAATGAAACAACTGTCTAGTGCTTCCTAGTTTTCAATGGTTTTCTAACTGTCATTTTAACGATGTGAACTATGAGATTCAGCAATCTTGACATATTCTTACAGTATTAATTTTATGTATTTATTTATTGTTTGTGCTGTTTACAGAAAGATAAAGATTTAATTAAATCTCTCATTGAAAGCATCGATTCAAATCTTAGAAGAAATCGTTTAGAAACAGAACTAGTTGATAATAATAATAATAATAACGTCTCGAATATTAATTGTGATACAATCACACCAACTGATGTCAATGACGAGAATTCGTTGGGACAATCTGAATTAATGAATAATAGCTCAGTGATTCAGTGTAATGATACTTCACTAACTAATTGTAATATAATGAATGGTGAGATGTCATTGGACACAACAAATTGTACATCGGATACATCAGTGACACGAAGTTATGAATGTGATAATAATAACATTAATAATGAATGTGGTCCTGATAATAATAATAATGCTGATCTCCAGTCAGATAATTCGTTAAATACAACGATCAAACAACTTGATAGTGATAGTAATGTCGAGGTTTCGGATAATTTAAACTGCGCAGTAATCTCTACCAATCCTATTGATGAGATATTCACTGAATGTATATTGGATAATCAAACAATTAATAAAGATGGTAAATTTATCAATAATAATAATATTAATAATAATGAGAATTTTGCAATAATGGGAAAACGAAGTAAGGAAGAAAAGAAAACAACAGGAGTGGTAGAACAACAACGACCACCTTTACTTCAACATTTATCCGATTCATTTATGACTATCGAAAATCTCTCTTCTTCATCTAACTTATTCCAAAATGTAAATGTACCATCTTTCAAGGATGATAAGTCATTGAATTGTAATACCGAATCAGATCCAATTCAGTCGTCTGTAAATGTATTTAACGAATCAAATTCACTGAATACAATAAGTCAAAATAATCATAATCATATATATAATGACGTAATCAGTAAATAAATATTATAAAACAGAGATCGAAAAAATCCAAATGAATTCCTCACCGTAATAACGATATGCCTTCATCAGTAAATCTGTCAAAAACCAATATTAATGGTGTTTGACATAACAGTAATAAAAGTAATAATAGTGCTATGATTTTGTTGTTCAATATTTTTCCCCTTAATATTAACTTAAAAAAAACAACAAAATTAATAACTGTGCTTTTCTTTTTCTGGTAAGTTATTTTTAAAAGGTCATCAAGCTTTTTTGTTTTTATGTCCATTGTTTATTATGATATGATTTTTCAAAGATCTACCAGAATCATGTTTAGTTTAAACAGGACTAATGAAGTGGTTGATGAAGTTAATAGTTTCGTTTATTTTTGTATGACAGCATTAACATTAATTCTTCTATGTAGATATCTTTCATCATTTATGTTACTGGGTAGATACATCAATGTTCATCCCAGCTCACATATACAATTAAATGTCCATTCTCTTCTACTTTATCCATCCTCAAAAATAGTTGTTGAAATTGTATTAAATCATAAACTAGAATACATTTTTTGAGATTAAATATGAATTTCTTCAGAGTATACTGTTATCAACCAAGACTATTTGTGATAGTCACTTTGATGATTAATCACTCTCTCATTGTGTCTTATCTCAATTAGGATAGAGATAAAGAGATTGTTTTGAGAAATTAATATGATGGTTTTATTTGTTGAATTATAAATTACGAGTAATGTATCTGAAACGGATGAATAATCAAAACTGAGATCTGGTTATTATTGAAATATAATAGGTAAAGAGTCAGATATGTTACTTAAAGGCCACTAATTCAAGTCCTTCAAATTTCAGTCATCATTTATAAATCTATACAGTATTACGTGTTATCAGCTCATATATCATATAAAAGATAAATAATGGTAAATTCTTCTTGAAATCATTCAACTCAGTGGCTCATACTAATGGTAATAAAAGTGGTAACTTCTTGGTTAAGGTTGAATAACTGTAATATTGAGTTCTTTTGTACTTATTCATATGGTCAGAGCCAGCATTTTGATTTCCCCTAATATGTTTATTCCGTCAGGTTTGAAAAAACCAGTGTATTTTATGGTTGTACTTTCGTGTATATTAAACATGGCGAGTAAACTGTTGTCTTCACAAAATTATAACTCAATCTGTCTATATGTACGCAATCGATTTGTAACTTCAATATGCTCTATAAAATTACTTTAAAACTATAGGTAATAGTTTTGTCATAGATATCGAGAATCAAATTACTTGTGAATTTTATATAGAGAAGGTTGGTAATTCTTTATTTATCCTATAAGGGAATCCGTATCTTTTTCCCTTCAATAGATATTAAAAAGAGCTTAATAATTGTGTTGTATACTGATATAGTGTATTGAACAATAGAAAATGTCTAACATCAAAACCTTTGCATCATAGAATCATTCTATTTCCAATATAGCATCTCACTTGTAATCAAGTTTGTTCACAAATAATTTGTTTAAGACTTCTTGTCAACTTATTTAACGGATAGTCATGCGTACGATAACAATTTATCTATATCATTTTACCTTTCGTATTGTCGCACTTGTATGAATATGTATGCTTGAGTATTACTTACTTACTGTCTATGCATATATTCATACATTGGAACCTACTCATTCAACCCGCTGACTCGCTCTCACACTCGCTTGCCTGCTTGCTTTTCGGCACTACTATCTCATGCTTGTTTAGTGTGCCTGTAAATTTGGATATCTGTGTGTGGTGTAATAATAAACGTAATCAACGCTTAGTATTCACCTTCTGAATAATACACCGTTTGGGCATTATCTATTGACGGTTATCAAAGCGAACTATATACGAAGTTTAAGGATTATATTGAATACCGACCACCACACCCATACAATTGATAAGTTGACATTAGTTTGACATAAACTTGTGTTACCGCACTATTTTTCTGACTCAACTATGTTTACCACAGATAGATAATCTTAATCCAAATTTTTGTTGAATTTCATTATAGATCACTAGCAATGAATAACATTTAGTTTTTCTGAGATTTAAGATTAAATATCTGCATCTTATATATCCAATATATTTTACATTGTAGTACAATTATTCTGTAATGTCATGATGTGTTATTACTCTTTTCATTCCTACCTTCGTCAATTCTCATAGATCAGAACATTGCCAATCCACATTTATTAATTAAGTTATTTTAATCAGCAATAGGTCAGTCATACGTCATGAATGTTTCAATTAGTAACTTATACAAAATGACTTCTCCAATCTATCTAGTATTTAATTTGTTGACAATAGAAATTATTACTATAAATATTCTTTTAAATCAGAATGTTACTGCTTACATAACGAGTTTGTTTGGGAAGTAATCATATTAGACATTTATAATGAAACTATTGATTTGATTCTGTCTAGTTTGATTAGGTTAATCTCGTTTATTTATTGTTCCACGTAATAAATTACTTGTAAATGGTATGTGAAATGTTTTATTTATCGAATTCTTATTTTTTAAATCTTTATTAAAGCTGTTCAGAATCTGTTCAATTCTGGAATTCTATGACTCCTATGTCTGATTCGACGTACAATATCCACGATCCGAATCCGTACCTAATAATCTATGAATCTTAATAATGACTTCTATTTTTTTTCAAAAATATTATTTTTCATGGTCTGTTTTTTATTTGTTTTTATTTTAATTATTAGAACATAAAAACTTTCTTTAATAAATACTTGCCTAGTAATTTTACAATTAAGTCGTTTTCTCTCATATCTATTTCAATGGAATTTCACAAAATCAATTCTAAGGTTTATGATTGTTCATTGTGAAATTTTCTTTTCTTTTTTTGTGTTGTAAATTGTATTTCCAGTTACTGTTATTTTAATTATGTTGCTTTATTACTCAAACGTATACGGATGTATACATTCTCAACTATTGATCATATTGATAATTGCAATACTTTACTGACATCTTTCTCATGTATCATATTGACAATAATGAATAATATTGTAGGTATCGATGCCAAGGTTAATCTTGATAGTTTCAGATAAATTGACCTTTGGGTACAAGGTTAATAATAAATATATTTTTTTGTTATATCCCAATGAGTAGAAAATTTTATCCCTGACGTTTCGTGACCTATTGTAAACCACTTCTTCAGAGTAAATAAATAATCGAATTTAATTTATATATGTTTAAATAGTACTAAGGAAACATTAAAGAAGTTGATTACATTAAGCCACAAAACGTGAAAAATACCATTTGTTTTACTCATTGGGATATAACAAAAAAGGATATTTATTATTAGTGAATAATATTGTTATCATCAAACACTTTTTGTGTATGTTGGCATCAGTTTAAATGAATTTTATTTACCATTAAAATTGTACAATACATAGTCATCTATACACTCATCATTTATTCTTTTAACTCATATACATTGGTTTATTCATTTCTATTATTTTATTGTATTCTACTGTAATTTGTTTTCATTACCAGTATCGTTCGTTACCTTTGATAATTTTAAATAAATATCAGCTTATATCTTTTTGTACACATTTATGTTTATTTTCATTTTAATCTAATATTCTTTTTTTTAATTTCTCATGTTTGTTTTTGTTTTTGTTTTTTTTTCATTGTGAAGTTACAACCAATTCAACAAAAGGGTTTTAAGTTTTTCTTTTCAGTTCTGTCATGTTTTGTATATTTTTTTCTTCTGAAGAATCCTAATATTATTATAATTGTCAGTAAAATAATTAATATATTTGTAATTATTGAATTATTAAACTACTGTAATCTTTTGTTTATTTTGTTAATTAAATATATCATAATGTTTGTTTGTATGTATATGTGTGAATGGATGGATGGATGTTTGTTTGGTTATCTTTAGAAATTTATTAACTAATTCATTCTATTTTCTAATTGCAATACATATCAAAATAATTCTATATTTTCTATGACATTTTTTCTCTCTCTCTCTACAGTGACACCTTTAAACTCATGATACTTTTGTGAAATCGTCAATTCACCGATTATTCTGATTATACTTAATTTCTTTTTGTGATAGGTCATTATCATGCATTAATGAAATATATTAATAAAAAAGTATATTATATTCAGTCTATATTCTAATTTGTTGATTAAAATCATTACCTATAATTGTTGAATTGTATGTGATGCAAACAATTAAACTTGTGAAAGTATTTAGTCTAGTAATAACTACTTAGCTTATATATGACTAAAATACTTTACAGACGGAATTCCTTTGATAATAATCCCATATTGATTTACATTTTGAATAAGACATGTATACGTATATACATATTGTTCACGAAACGTTTTACACAATCGAAATGATGCGATGATGGATGCTATTTGAAGTATTGACTAAAGTTTCTGTATCATGTCATTTTTAGTAATCACCAACTATTGATTTATCAGTTAGAATAGTTATTGATTCAAAGAGATGATCATATTGTTGTATAGTCTGTTTCAATTTCATTTCATGTTATTTATGATTCATTTAACAATGATGTAGACAAATAATACTTTTATTCCTGGATAACTTTCGTACAATTAGTATTGTCTCATTAAAGTAATTGTCGTGAGATTATTCCCAGCATTCTAATTATCAGTAAGTGCATTGTACTCAGCACATTTGATTGTTTTCCCGCTTTTTTTGGTGAGTTAGTGCTAGATGGTAGAGTAAAATTTTCATCAAGTATTTCATCTCAATCTCTAACGCTTGCTACTTTTTTTATTCGGGCTGCTACACTGACATGTTTGTAGCAGATAGTTATGAGTAAGTCCAAACACCTGAAGTGAGATCCTCCATAAAATTACACCACAACATGCAGCACATATCTATTAAGTGAATGAAAACATCGTTAAAGCTACCAGACATCATGCAGTTACTGAACACTGAAGATGTTTCGGTTGATCTCACCCCATATCCTGACTTTATAATTCAATAAGCTTATAAATTTAGCGCATAAAAGTATTTTAGTATGTAGGTTTTACGATGAAAACTTGTGTACTTGAGATTACAGTGCTTGTTTTATCTACTCGAATGCTTTTTCAGTATTACAGTGAAATCTATTTTTAATATGGATTCATTTTACTTTCCCTCAATGAAAGTCTAAGGGTTTTTTTCCTAATAAAGTCTTATAACTATATTACCGCATATTATTAAATATTTTCAGTATGAGGGTTGTGGAGATTGTTAAGATTTTGGTTGAAATCATGAATCAATTGATGTTAGACCACCGTTGGAAACCTGGAAGCACTGGACGGCCGTTTCGTCCTAGTATGGGACTCCTCAGCAGTGCGCATCCACGATCCCGCGAGCGGGATTCGAACCCAGGACCTACTGGCTTCGCGCCTGAGCACTTAACCAATTGATTCATGATTTCAACCAAAATCTTAACAATCTCCACAACCCTCACACTGATAATTAACATGTGCTCACTAGTGACTAGCTTCGTGAGGGAATTCTCGGAGTTCTAGTGAGAAGTCGTGACCTGTGGAGCTAATCCGTGTCGGGTAGAGACAGGTATCTACCTCAGTACAATGGAAGTTGGTCACGCAATTTCGTGGATTGGTTGATGTTAGACACTAACACCATTGGATGCCGGCTCAGTGGTCTAATGGTTAAGTGCTCAGGCGCGAAGCCAGTAGGTCCTGGGTTCGAATCCCGCTCACGGGATCGTGGATGCGCACTGCTGAGGAGTCCCATACTAGGACGAAACGGCCGTCCAGTGCTTCCAGGTTTCCAACGGTGGTCTAACATCAATTGATTCATGATTTCAACCAAAATTAAATATTTTCTTAGATTATTTAACAGTGAGTGGTAAGATTTGTTGTTAGATTCAAGATAGTCATCTGTATTTCTGTTGATAAGTTATGTATGGAAGTATTGACTTTTATCTATTAGATTAATTTTATTTAAGTCAATGAATTGATGCACAAGATCCATCAGCACACACATACCGTTGAAATAGCTACGATATATTTTATTTCTAACTAGAGGGTTGTGCATGCAAATAAAATAAGTATGGAGATGTTTACGAGGATTACCACTACCAGTGTGTCGGTCTTTGTAAATGTTTCGGCACACAGATAACTTTCGAAATTTAAGTAGCAGTTAAAAAATATGGTGTATCGGTTACTGATCCTAATATCTTTGTTTTTGGCGTTGCGTTCTGTGAGCTATACGGTTCAATTGTAGATCTTTCATCATCATTCTTGAGAATAATTTTAGCGCCTACTTCATGTAGAAATCATCTTAATGTGCTTCCAGATGTTTAGCGACAAATAGGATAAAGTGTGTACGTGTATGTAGAAGAAGAGATCACACAGTGTTGAAACTCAACTTGCATAAAATGTTTTAGACCTAATGCTATGATAAAACACTGTTCAGCATACATGTTGTATTGAACAGAGTCTACAAACCGAAAATAAACTGAGACGTAACCCGATAAATGAACAATTGAGCATTATTTAAAAAAATATTTTTAAAACTTGAGATAAGAAAGAGTTAACATTTAAAAGAAAACCAGACTTCATTTACAACAAAGCCGACAAAGATATTTATGTTGTCAAGATAATCTTCACTTGCTTGTAACTATTGGCGCTTGACAAATAACATACTTTTTTAGTTTAAGATGTTCGTGGAAATCGTTAATTTTCATAGTTTGCACCATGTTTCGCGGTAGAGTCATGGATGTCCACTCGTGAAGTGTTCCATACTAGGATAAAACAACTATTCAATGCTTTATGGTTTTCACTGGTTGCATAACTAAAAGCCGTTCGTGATGTAAACTGTCAATAATCTTTGTCAATGAAACATTTTAGCATTTAACATTGTCATTATAATCTACAAACAGACTTTTATTATCTGTAGAATAATGAATAAAATTATTTTAACAAAGTACTATTACACATATTTTTGCAATTATTTGTCCTTACAGTGATGTACCCTGTTCTAACAGCGTGATTTTTTTGTTTTTCATATTTATCACCAACGTTTTACTTGTATTTGGTGTACGTGTATGAGTGTTTGTGTTTTTGATATATAACAACATGAAAGTAAAGTTCATCTATTTCATTTTAGAGTAGGATTAAGGCGGGACAAATTAATTTGAATAATGAGAAATGATATTATTTCTTACTAACAAATAACGCCTTTTCGTTTACTGCCATTGTATACTACGTATGTTTCTTTGAAACAGTTGAAAGAACATATATTCACTTTGGTTTTATAGTATATTTATTGCTTATATTTCACTTGTCATCCTTTTTTGTTTATTTTTGTCAGAGGTAGACTGTTTGTCCTTTCATTCCAGTGTATAATTGATAAAGTTAGTTAAAGAAAAACGCTATAGTTCTTTGTTATTCTCGTCAGATGTTTGAAATTATCTCCCAGAATACAGATTTATATGCGCGAACTCATAATTAAAAATATTTCATTTTACACCAATAATTCATAATAACATAGGATTTTTTAAATAATATTCTGTTTTCAGGTATTTGACTAATTTCTCACATTTATTAATAATAAACATTCAAGTACTCACGATTTTATTCTTCATGTCTACCTACTCAGAGCATTATTGACGTAATAGTTGGCTAAATAACTTGTAAATACCTTGTAACCTTTTATAAGACAAATAATCCTTTCTTATGGAGTGGTAATTCACACGTCTTAGAACCCACTTACAAATAGATTTCAATTTATTTAATTATCAAACATAATTAAGATTATGGACTGATCAATGTCAGACCACCATTGAAAACCTGGAAGCACAGGACGACCGTTTCGCCCTAGTATTGGATTACTCAGCAGTGCGCATCCACGGTCCCACACACGGGACTCGAACCAAAGATCTTAGGTCTAGTGGGCGAACGCTTAAACTCTAGATTACTGAGCCGAGATCCGACGGTGCTAATGTTTAATTCCAACCACTCCACGACATTGCGGGACCGCCTTCAATGTCTTTCGTGAGTAACTACCTCACAGCATAACTAATGAAAGTTGATGTGAAGGTGGCATACTATTTAGCAGTAGAAAATAATTTTGATGCATTAATTTTTATTTTTACTTAAAATGCACCTCGAAATAAGTAAAAGAAAAACATCTTTGAAATAGATAAATTAATATATTTGTAATGTCCAAATGAGTAGAAAAATTAAATTTTCTGACGTTTCGTGACTCAGTGTTAAAAAATAGGGATAAACAAATAGTGAGTAAGATTAATCAGAGGTTAGCTATACAGTATCTCGTAATTATTGTAGTCAGTTTTTTCTTTAACCGTTATTTGACAAATCAGTTATTCCTAACATTATCGTGATTCCATAATGAAGCAAATATATTCGCGATTAGAATATTGGTGTTTAATACAGAGTAATGAGTGAAAATTTGATTAGTAGGCTAAACTATATAACAGAACTTTAACTCATCTAATATCAAATATTTGAAGAGAATTAACAAGGAGTCTTTTTTTTAAAATAAGCAATATGCCATTGATAATCACCCAGTGATCAATACAATTGTATGTATTATCAGTACAAATTTGAAAAACTCAGGAATAGGGTTTCGATGTTATCACCATGTGAAGTATATCTAACATAACATCACCTCTAGTTGTTGATACACTTTATTGAGTGCTAATAATCTCAAAATATGAAGCTTATAGAATGTTGTTTGTGAAATTGGTCGATGAAATGTGAGCAAAATTAAATAAATATCAATCCATAGAACAGTAAATATTCTTTGGATGTTTTATGATGATTAAAGCACAAAACCAAGTTTCATTGTAAATCATCGTGATGAAGTTAATGTTATATTAATTTTTAATTCATATCATATATTCTGTGTCCTGTTTAGAAATATCTGATTTTATTAAAATAGAAAAGTCAGTTTGTTTTAAAGATTTATCACCCTCACTACAGTTGTGTTTGTTAGTGTAAAAGATTTGGAGAAAATTTCTAAAGAATATTATCTATTCCATGAAATATAGGAAAGTCCAGGGATGATACTGAAGATGAATAAGTGCTTAGCTAATAGGTTATGTAATTTTGACACTTTTTTAAAATCGAACCTATCGTAACTTCAAATTTATGCGGATACCTCTTTCTAGAAAACATTTAAGTATACTGATATGTAGCGTGAAAATAGCATATTTTTTGTTGTAAGACAATTTATATATTAGAGCCATTGATACTACTCAGCCATCTAAATAACAAATCTATGAAGTTGGCTTTAAGCTGCTAGCTTGGCGACTTTGTTTTTTTTAACCAGCTTCTTAATTATTAACACCCTACTATATTAATGTACGACTTCATTCTGATGAATATCTTTTATCAACCAAGTATAAGTATCAACTTAGATGTACCAACTTCTATATCCGTTATGTTTATTGTCAAATAAATATAGGGATATATTAAGAAGCCACTTACTGGGACCTATTGATTACTTACACCTCTCGTATAGATCGGTTAGAAATTCTGACTAACTTGATTTTGAATATCCAAATTGTTCAATGAACTATCCCCTTACGTTAGTACTTATTAAAAAGATGCCTTTGAAAAATAATTTGACACTACAGTTTATTTTATAATGTTATCCAAAGATTCAAAAGCCTATTTCGTCTTTTCCTCCCAAACTTCCCAACTTCTGCAAGTTGAAGATATCACCTCATCATTTAAATGATCCAGTATTTGAAAGAAACATGCAATAAAACATCGTATGAAATTATCTTATAACTATTTGTATCATATTATGGACAGTCCCCCGAATAACTACAACTTGAATTATTTCTTCATATTATCTAATGATAGATTTATAACATAATGTTAATTTCACGAATTTTGTCTCGCTAATAGGTTTAATAGAATTGTTGAGTACCTTATTTTGATACTGAATAGATTGATTCACTCTTGCTTTTGTTGTTCCAAGTTTTAGTGAAAACTCTGTTTTAATGTATCCGGTTATTGTACACATAATTTCTTTATGAAAATTAATTATTGTATTCCATTTTATAATAGTTTACCTTTTGTTTGGACGGGATGCTGTGCAGCAATCGATTGAAACATTTTGAGATATTAAGATAAACTACTCTTATTATATCAGTAGTTAGATAAGATCTGCACATTCTCCAGCCTACCGTAAATAATGTTAACATATCCAACTATGAAAACTGGCGATTACGATTGTTCAAAACCAATCAACGAAATTGTAGTTTTGTAATTAAACAGTAAAATCATGACTAAATGAAAAAAACTGATCTATGAAAGCCTCGCTTTGATGCGGCGAATGTAGATTTATGTTCTTTATTCATTTGGACTATTATCTTGTTTTTTTGATTAGCACTTCTGGCCTACATCAGGTATCGAATTAATGTTAAAGAAAACAAATGTTTTAAATTTATCGGTTAAGTTAGACAGGTGTTTTAGTATTGGATTTTTCGTATGGATTTATGTACATTGGTATTTTCTTATACAATCCAAAGTTGCGTTTATCTCAGCTTTGCTCTATCCACTTCCGTTGAATTATCTATTCTAATAACGAAACGTAATGTAAATGTCCCAAAACATAAGAGTTTTGATAAATATATTTTTGAACGATCAAAATTTCGCGTACATTCAGTACTTAACTCACGTTCTGATTGTATCATAAAGTGAATTGTCAACAAAGTAACTAGTTTATATGGTAACCCTACGGCATAATGAGGTATTGTAATGTTAATTCAGAACTTACCTGCACTTCTGTTAAAGTAAGATATCATAACTGTTTTTACCAACTTACCATGATTATAATTGTATTTCACTGTATATTTCAACTATATATGTTTGAACGTAATTTATTAATGAGTGTAGACATAGGATATTTCCTCTCAATTTTCGTCAGATATGTCAAGATTGATGAACAAAGACTAGTTCGTAGTCATATTTAAATCAGTTATCTTTAGATTTTCAAAACGAGGTATGTTTACACAAAATCTGATCTACAATGATTTTAATATCAGGTAGGCTTTAACTATAGAAATTCCTATCTACATATTACATGATTTTATAATATATTCTATTGTCCTATAAATCTTCATTAAGAGCATCTCTTCTTACTTTAGATGATTTTCTTGTCATCTTCAATCATAAAACAAATAAATCATACGATTATATTACAATCTAATCGATTTATTTCAATTGGTGATCGAATTTGTCTTATTAAAAAAATTACAGCTCAAGATGTGAATGATTTTGCAAAACTTACTGGTGATATTAATCCAATTCATTTAGATTCGAATTATGCTAAACAAACACGTTATGGAAAATGTATTGTACATGGAACATTTATTCAAGGGTAAATAATTATCTAATTTTACTTATCAAATTTCGTTTCATTTATCTATAATTTTAAATATTTTTGAATAATTTTTTGAGCGTAAATTCAATTTTATATACTAATTTTCTTCGTAAATGTAATACAGTATCAATAGTCGGTTACCTTAACCAACCGATGATAATAAATTAGTAATCAGTAATTTAGAAAAATAACAATTTAGGAACGAGCTAAGCAAGATTTTTCATCTTTTCATGTAATTATTCACTATTATTTTGAGTTCTGTTGGTAGTTGCGAAATTCCAGTTTGGAATCTGTGGGATAATTTCAATCTATGGTTGTGAATGGTAAGTGGTATGACCGAAAATCAGTTTCTCTGGAATAGTTGGATTTATATATTATTCTCTTTTAAATCGTTACGCAAACTCAACCACCTCCTACCTTGACAGATCATCTTATATGGTGTTGATATTTTCAAAATTCTCAATATAATATGACTGAAATATTATAAAATGGTAAAGTCTAAAGTACATTTCCTCAAACAATAATATACACGCGTTATATCATAGTTTGGTTAAAATGTGATAAATCGTACTCTTGATATTGATTTTGTAATTTAACATTTCAACCAGTAAACCTAAATGTACTGAATTCACTTACTAAAATAGTCATATACTTACTTACTTACGCCTGTTACTCCCAATGGAGCATAGGCCGCCGACCAGCATTCTCCAATCCACTCTGTCCTGGGCCTCCTTTTCTAATTCCATCCAAAATAGTCATATACGTGTTCAAAATAAAGGTACCAAGAACAAATGGAAAATCAGTTTGTGATTTGTTGCTTTCTAAATGTATTTCTCATCTTCATAAAGCTTAATTTATTCATTCTTTGTAATAAAGTATGTAAACATTGCAAAATTTCAAAAAAATCGAATTAAATCAAATAACTTATTAGTCAAATATTATAACCCTAATCTCTTCTTGTTTATTTTATATTTAGTGTTTCATTTACGAGCTTGTTTGTTTCTTTTTAGCAAAGAAAATGTTCTTCTCGACAAAACCATCTACTTTTTCTATCTTCCTATAGACATATATTTCCTATATAGCTATACATACGGATGTACAATTTAAGTAAAGAAATTTTTTCTTCACTGAATTCTCTTTATTTCTATCCAATGACACAATGAGTTATTTTTTCTTCTTGTGAGATTGATAATAATCTCATAATATCTTTAGTCAATCATATCCTTTCATATGATCCTATTTGACCGAATGCTTTAAGGTTTTGCGAGTGAATTAAATTCTGTATTATCCAGGAATTGAAAATATACTTTGATAATAGTTACTTTTGAATGCAGTTGTACTGAACAAGGACACCTGTGGGGAAAATCGAATGCATTTAACACAAAATTACAGGAGTTGTTAATAAAATCTAACAATCATAAAGTATAAATAAAAATCATATATTTGTAATATCCCAATGAGTAGAAAATTGGATTTTCTGACGTTTCGTGACTTAGTGTAAGTCACTTCTTCAGAAAATAAATAACCAAATATATTATTTTTATTTATAACAATGAACCCAATGCTCAATTTATTCGAAATTATCAAATCAAACCTTGGTAATAACACCTACAAAATCATAAAGTAGATGCTTAATTTGCAAAATATCTATCGATTGTCTCAAAATGACTCAAACTTCATTGTTCTTGCATTTTCATACAAATTGCATCCTGTTTCCATTCTTTACTGTCCGATCCTCTTGTCTCTCTGCTGCCAGACCTCGTGTTCACGACTAACATCATATACTACTTATGTCAATATAAGTAGCACACACCACAGTTAATAAACTGAGTATTCTCCAGTATTTAATTTTAATCACCTAATAATAATTCATTGTTATATTTTTAAAATTACTAAATGGTTGATATAATACTAACAAGTAAAGTTTCTTGTTCTTATTTTGATGGAACGTTTCTGATAAATGAAAATTATTTGGTAGAACATCGTTTTAATGAATTTCTTTAGTTCGTGAACTGCGTTTAACTGTTGATGTATTCATAATATCTTCATTATACAATTAGTATTATGTTGAATAAGAACACCATCGATTTATTAGAATAGAAAAACCAAAGGATAATGAATAACGTTTTCATCACAGCACACAACTCACCAGCAAAACTCTCCCACAATTCTGTACTGGATATTTAGATATTTGAGAGTACACAAAATTCAGTCACGAAGATATATTTTCAGATGATGGAGATTTGTAGTTCACGTTAGTGATTTTGATAAAGTTTTGTTCTCTGAAGTACCTGAAGTTTGATGCTGTTCAAAAAAACTCTGAAAAGCTTTACGACTAAACCATCCAGCTCAGAGAACAAAACTTTATCAAGATATATTTTCATTATTCCAGTAAATAATGGGTAAAATCATCTTAATCCTACCTGTGAAAATATCTCAGATTATATCGTTAAAAGATTTTTTTCTAGATAATTTTCAAAATCTTCAATATAATCTTGTTTTTGACAGTTCTACACTTGGTATTAATCAATGATGAAGATAAGTGTAAATTTTTAAAACAAAACTTCTCTCCTTACTTATGAATGATTATAAGCTTTTCTACATCACTTCAATTTGTTTGTTGATCTATATTTTCTTTGAATTGTTGTTATTATCATTGTGTTTACTAATTCATTTTCTATATATCTTTTATTATGATAACTTTTTCAATGATTCAGTTATTTATTCTCTGAAGAAGAAGAAGAAGAAGTGACTTACGCTGAATTCCGAAATGTCAGAAAATTTAATTTTTCTACTGGCTGAGATATTACACATATATTAATTTGTTTTTTTTTAGTGATTATTTAGTTGTGTTTATTTTTTCGTCGATATAACCACTTACTACTTATAAATGTCTAAAATATAGCGTTATATTTTAACTAAATTCCAGTGGGAATTTATTGTTTAATGTTGGTTTATAACTAAAATGTTTTATTTTAGCATAAAACTGTTTAGTAACTAAGTGAATTAATGTGTTAATTATTTCAAAGGTGTGTTAAATTTTCTTAATATGTATACATAAAGGGATAAAGATTAGTAAAGATAATTTATTAATTAGAAGAAATCCATATACTAGATATTGAACCACATTCATTGTCTATCTATGAGATATTTGGCTCATGAAACAAACGTTGTTGAATTGGGACTTGAACTTGTAATCCTATAAATGAATACTGACATTTCACTTTATTCCTAAAACTTATTTCCATGTTTATAAAATAGTTATTTATTTTTTTGAAGTTAGAACCTAATTTTCATAGTAATTTTAGTTTTATCCAGTTTAATGTGATACAACTCTTCAAATTACCAAAGTTTTAAACGTTTGAACTGGCTATTTATATTAGAGAAATAACCATTATAATTATACAAATCATCAGAATGTATGGTTGTTATCAGTAATTGAAAGATAAGTGCCATCAACCAGTATTCTTTGAGGATTTTCAAGAACAATATACAAATAGTGAATCGTTCTTTCTTTGTTCTAGTTAGATAGTTATCAGATATTTTTTACTGATATTACCATATCCTGCGAAGGCTTATAGAAACTAAAAGTCACCTCTAGTTCTATCAAAACGTTTCTCCCCCAAATACCCTGGTATGGCCGAGAGTGGGGTGGGCCCGCCTTCTCATGGCGGGGGTGTTTTCTACGAAAATGAGAGAACGAAAAGCGAATGTCTAGAGCTTTAACCGGATTCCAAACCAATGGTGCACATGGGCTCCAGTACCCTGAGAGAATATATGTCGTATGAACCAATCGTTGGTCATCGGCTTCCATGGAACTGCATCTCCTCACGATTCTCCACTGCCTTGTGGATCAGACCTTTAGGTCAAAGGCTCGGGGTATCGCCCTCTAAGAAAATCACCTACTTCGATTTGGGCACCCGGGCAGTGTCACAGCCCACACGCAAATAAAATGAAAATGACTATATTTACTGAAAATTCTATTCTCGCTTCGATTTACAGTCAAACAATTCACGTTATTATTATTATTTAATACGTCATTTAATCACAATTAATATCGACGTTTGTTATCTACTCGAGACTTGTATTCAAGACTCTGGTGAAGTGCTACAAATTCGCTCTCCATCTGTCGCTTCAAAAAGCTTGTTTTACGTGCGCTTATCCGGGGACCCTGTGGCATCTTCGTCTGGTCTTGCTGTCGTTGGTGTCGCACTAAGCGCTAGAGCTGAGGAATCACTAATCGATTGGATCCCCATTAACAGTCGGTTATGTGCTGTTAGATTAGAGTGTTCCATCAAAAAGAGAAGAAATCGGTGTGAGAAACGATGTCTTTTCGTCATCTCCGCCTATGCCCCGACAGATTGCAGCCCGGATACAATCAAGGATGAGTTTTACCACCAGTTATCTGTTCTTCTCCAGAAAGTGCGTTCGACAGATATTGTAGTACTAGCCGGAGACTTGAATGCTCAGGTCGGGCGTCTAGGCACAGAAGAGAGTCGTTTAGGTGGCCGATGGGGACTTCTTGGTCGTAGGACAGATAACGGAGACCGTCTACTGCAACTGTGCACAGACCACAACCTGTTTCTGGCTAGCACTAACTTTCGACACAGTCATCGCCACCTGGCGTCCTCCCTCTGCATCTCAAGCCTGGACTCAGATCGATCACATCGCAATCAGCTACCGTTGGCGTGGTTGTGTACAAGACTGCCGTTTCTTCTGGAGTACCTATCTGAGCTCTGATCATGCCGTGGTCTGCGCCAATCTTACTTTACTTTTCAGTGGCCAACGAAGTGACCACCACCAAAGGATTGATGTCAGCAAGTTGGTTGCAACTTCTGTTGCAAGTAAGTATCGAACTGAACTAGCTTCTAGGCTAGCTACCATTCCACCGAAAAGTATAGATGAGCATTGGTTACAATTGCGTGACGCCATGAAAATGGCGGGCACAGTCAGTTGTGGGTTCGCGAAACTTCGGAGCGTGCTAATGAGCTGGAAGCAGCAGCTGCATCTGGTAACTGCCAGAAGCTCTTCCAACTCATCGGAGTCACTGGCAGCAAGACGTCTGGTGTGAGGGAAACAATCTGTGAGGATGACGGGATGCCAATCACCAACATCCATCGACGTCTTAGACGATGGGCATAATTTTTCGAAGGGCAGTTCAACTGGCCTGCTGCTCTGGCAACATCGATCAGAATGTCCTGCCTTCCATGGCCGGTGACGACTGGTCCACCGAATGAGGCGGAAGTCCTCAAGGAACTCCAACTCTTGAAGCGTTACAAATCGCCTGACCCATATGACTTACCTCCGGCTCTTTTTAAAGATGGTGGTGACTTTCCGGTTAAGGAACTGACGACGTTGTTTACAAATGTCTGGGCGCTAGACAGTGTACCAACGTAATGGAATAAGTCGGTAGTTGTCCATATCTTTAAAAAGGGTTCACGTCGTTCCTGTAACAATTATCGGGGGATAAGTCTACTTCCGATTGCGTCCAAGCTATTGGCTTCCGTCATACTTCGTAGGTTGTTCAAAACCTGAGAAAGATTGACTCACGAGGAGCAGGCTGGTTTTCGTTCTGGTCGAGGATGTATTGATCATATCTTTACCCTCCGCCAAATGTTAGAACACCATCATACTTTTCAAAGGCCAACAATCGTAGTGTTTCTTGACATCAGTGCTGCCTTCGATTCGTTGGATAGGACTGTTCTCTGGAATTGTCTATTGAAGAAGGGTGTGTCTGAGAAGTTCATTAACATCCTAAAAGCTCTATATAAAAACACATCAGGCAGAGTGATGGCATGCAACCACCTTTCTCCATTGTTCTATTCGAGCAGTGGGGCTAGACAATGTTGCCCAATCTCATCATACCTCTTCAACTTTGCCATCGATGACATTCTGGAAACAGCTCTGATGGATGTAAGTAATGGTGGTGTGGATCTGTTGCCTGGAGAAAGACTTCTCGACCTTGAGTATGCGGATGATATTGTCTTACTGTGCGATAATGCACAAGGCATGCAATCCGCACTTAATCAGTGGCAATGAGTGTCCGTAGGTGCGGTATGTGGTTTGCACCTTCAAAGTGCAAAAAACTTCTACAAGACTGACAGGATTCCAATCCTGTACTCATCCTGGATGGTGAGCAGATAGACGTAGTCGAGAAGTTCGTGTACCTGGGTAGCTGCATAAATGCTGGTGGGGGTGTGAGTGATGAGATCAATGCACGTATAGTGAAAGCCAGAGCTGCTTATGCCAATCTGGGCTATCTTTGGCGCCTTCGTGATGTTAGTCTGGCTTTAAAAGGTCGGATCTACAACGCATCGGTGAGAGCAGTTCTGCTCTATGCTTGTGAAACCTGGTCTCTCCAAGTTAAGGACGTTAGAAGACTCTCTGTGTTCGATCATCGCTGTCTCCGAAGTATTGCTGACATTCAGTGGCAACATCATGTTAGTAATGCAGAGGTTCGGCATCGTGTGTTCGGGCACAGAGATGATAATGTAATTGGTGTCACCATCTTGAAACACCGACTTCGGTGGCTTGGACATGTTCTCCGAATGTCGTCCCATAGAATTCCACGTCGTGCATTATTTGCCGACTCTGGGACTGGTTGGAGAAAGAGGAGAGGTGGTCAGTATATGACATGGCGTCGTGGTATGAAAGAAAGCTGCAATGGGCTGGCTTGTGTTGGTCCTCCATGATTCCCTGACTGGGGTCCGAGAGATGGTGTGACACAGTTGCTAGAGACGCTATCAGATATGGCTCAGAATAGAAGCCAGTGGCAATCCTGCTGTAACCTTTTACTTTCTTCATAAAAGTGGTTGTTTCTTCCTTAACTGAAAGATTTGTTCTGATTGTACCTTTTCGTTTCCCTTATTATTAATAATACTACACTACCGTACACCAATCTGTGGTCATTATTGTTCTTTTTTCCATTTTTTCCCTTGCACACACTTTACCTTCTTTTTTCTCTTCCCATTCTCATTATTTTGTGTGGCGCATATATATATGGTTCCCCCTTGTACCAATATTTATGTGTTCAAATAAATAAATAAATGAAATAAACTGTACATAATTTAACATTTGAAGTGGTATTTTTACTGTTTCTCGGGTTTTATTTCCTATTTGCGGTAAAGGATTAAGACATCTGAAAGCTAGAAAATATCTAGGAATACTGTGTTTGAAGCGTTTAGCGTACAAGACCTATCAGTGTTTCGCGTATCAATCGGTTATCATGTATTGATTATTTTCATTTTCTGCCTCATATGTGATATTTGCCTACTAAGTTATTCAACTGAGAGTTTTGATGAGATATGTTTTCATTTTTAGTGACTGATTACAAGTGATATTACTATTCATGACTATGTTAAGCGGGTGTATGATGAGGTTAAAGTTTCTCTGCTCTATTGTTTGACTTATCATGCTACATTGTATAAATAAATCATATAGTAATATGGTACAAAATATACGTAAAGATTTATATTGTTGATGAGTGAGTCATAGACGAAATGTTACCTTTGGATATTAGTGTTGCTTAATAAACCATAAGATATTTGAGGTTGGTGATTGTATTCATTAGCCATACAACTCATCATTAAATTAAACTAAAAATTATAGCTCTTTAACTTGTCTAAACTATTTAAAATAAATCATTCCAGCTTCTTATATTATCTACAGTTTACTAAATTATTGTATTTGTTATGTATATAGTTCTCTTGAAAATAATTTTAAGATTTTTTTCATTTTCTATTATCTTTCATTGTTAGTCTACTTTCTTGTTTGCTTGGTGTACATTTCCCTGGGACCGGATGTGTTTTACATGCAATAAATTGTAAATTCCCAGAACCATGTAAGTTTTTATTTTTAATCAGTATCTAGTTTTTTTTTCTCTGTGTTAGTTGTATAAATAGTTTGAAGCTAAATATGTTGATGCATTTAGTCGGCGGGAGACCTTTAGCCTAAATTTTATACTAATTGACACTCATCAACTAGTTGTGCTTGAAATATTGAAAGAATTAATGCTGTATGTATGTTTTAAAAACACGTTACTGAGCTCCAAAGTATAAGTTCGAGAAATTTTGTTCTTTATCTCTCCCCATCATCGACTGTATCAAGGCATTTAAGGGAAAAATAAAGAAATTAGTTGGAAAGTGTAAATTACTATGTTTAATGAACTAGGATCTACCGTTTAATGCTTTAATGCATAAATATTCTTACATTGTAAGAGAAGGACCTAGAGTGCATTTATCTAGCTGTAGTGTTGAGTTTTTTAAAAAAAATTTTATTTATAACAATCGTGTTTTTTAGTCAGTTCTTAGTTATATAGTTTATGTTTTTAATTACATAATTGTCAAGCGGACGACTATTTTGTTCATAATAATTCTAAGTAAAGCTTGGCAGATCAGTATGGTTCAACCAACTGATGTAGTTTTTGTGACACAGTAATAATCTAAAGAAAATGAGGAAGACATTGACAATCTTAGGGTATAAAACAAAGGTTACATTCTGTTTTCGGGTTTCTCAGCTTAAATTCTATGACTTAATGACAGTAGTAAACATCTTTTACATAGTTGCTTCAAACAGAAAAAAGTGTTATTTGAGTTCCAGCTAATCTACCTTTATGTTTAATCGATTTTTGTCTTGGTATATAATCAGTCATCACAAAATGGTTGTAACGTGTTGTGAATGATAGTGTGGTCGACTAACTAATTAAGTTGGATCGATCTAAAGCATTACATCATTCTCGGACGTTTTCCATTAACTGTTTGTTTTGATATACAAGTTAATTAGTGATTGAATATACCTTCTCTCCCTGAAAATTTTGTTTTACAATATTACGAGTTGTAGTTCATTGATTTAGTAAATGATGAACATAATAATTAAATTTTTTAGTAAATAATCTAGATACCTTACCTTTAGGTTATACAACTAAGATTTTAAGCTACTCAATTGTATCATTTCAGTAGTGATAATATTTCTACTTTGAATAAAAATTTAAAAACAATTCAGCGAAAAAAATTTTCTTTCCGATGAAATCATTCACTTAAACTACACATTTATATTCATAGTTCTATGGTGAATATATGTCTATAAAAAGATAGAAAAGATTGCATCAACAAAATGGATTTGAGACTCTTATTATCAGATGAGGTTATTCAATAATCAAGGGGTAAGAGAAGAGAATATAAGGCTGGAAATAATTCACGGGTTTGAATTATGAAAGATAATTATCCACTTGATAGGTATGAAGAGAAACGAAAAACACAAAAGATGATAATAACTGGTTACGGTTAAAAATTAAAAAACACCAACAAAAGATCAATAATAATAATAATAATAATAATAATAATAAATAAATAAACAAAAATAAAAAATGAGATAAAAATGGGAGAAAAATCTAAATATACTATATAAAAGGGAATTAGGGTCAAGGAACGATGAGAGGTTATACCGGTGGATTACCAGTGCCTCAGCAGTGCATAAGATTTTCATTCTACCTCCCTTCGATCTAATTCCTTTGACTGTGTAGATTATTTTGAAAGAAGACTCCGTGGGAGCGATGTGTCCGTTGCTTCTGCTCCTAACGTGAACTGAATTAAGGCCGGGAAGATTGACAGTTATTGAAACTATTCAGAATTTCATTGAGGTCCGTATTTTCTTCACAACTAATGAAAGTATCATTCATACTCTCAGAGGCAAAAGAGGGACTTCATTTTCTTGATATTCGGTTGAAAAGGTCAGATGGTTTTTTACAGAAATCTATTTACAGAAACCGATCTCGAATGAGCAGTACACGAATTTCCATAGCTAGATCCCACTGGGTAAAAAGAGGAACTTAATTCATTTTTTATCCTAAAAGTTCAAAATAATCTACACAGTCAAAGGAATTAGATCGAAGGGAGGTCGAATGAAAATCTTATGCACTGCTGAGGCACTGGTAATCCACCGGTATAACCTCTCATCGTTCCTTGACCCTAATTCCCTTTTATATAGTATATTTAGATTTTTCTCCCATTTTTATCTCATTTTTTATTTTTGTTTATTTATTTATTATTATTATTATTATTATTATTATTATTATTATTATTATTGATCTTTTGTTGGTGTTTTTTAATTTTTAACCGTAACCAGTTATTATCATCTTTTGTGTTTTTCGTTTCTCTTCATACCTATCAAGTGGATAATTATCTTTCATAATTCAAACCCGTGAATTATTTCCAGCCTTATATTCTCTTCTCTTACCCCTTGATTATTGAGTAACCTCATTTGATAATTAGAGTCTCGAATCACTTTATGATGCAATCTTTTCTATCTTTTTATAGACATATATTCACCATAGAACTATGAATATAAATGTGTAGTTTAAGTGAATGATTTCATCGGAAAGAAAATTTTTTTCGCTGAATTGTTTTTAAATTTTTATTCAATGACACAATGTGTTATTTTAATTATTTCTTCTTTAATTTATTCATTTATTTGATCACAGTATTTGTGGATGAAACATGTCGAATAGAAGCTGTAGTATCTAAATTACGTGGAAGACTAGCTACGTTCGATGTAAATGCTTATGCTTACGAAAGAAATGCGGTAAATGTTTTACATTATTTTTTCTCATTATTTTTCGCTCAAGACACTAAATTGAATTTCGAAGCTGTTTTAATTCATATATGAAGTTATTTTTTTAAGAATAATAAACGAGTATTCATATCAATTATTTTGAATTAAATGTAATTTATTTTCTCCTTCATTGTGTGTGTATGCATTACTTGTTCAATTCGATGTTTTTCTGCGATGGTGGAGAAGATTTGTAGCTCAGGTGGATGATTTTGGTGGAGTTTTGTTCTCTATTTGAAGTTTGTGCTGATGGTGTCGTTCAGAAGAACGATGAAAGCTCCACGACCAAACCATCCAGCTCAGAGACACGACCAAACCATCCAGCTCAGAGAACAAAACTCCACAAAAATCGATGTTTTTCTATTGGTTATTGAGAAAACAAATATCTTGAAGACGTCTATAAAAATTGTATTGAGGTAAATTTATACAAAATAGTATATATGTAGGGAACGGGACTTGGCAAGGATGATCAATTTATTGTTTATAGAAAAATTACAGTGTCTTTATAAATTCTGAAAACCATACATTAAATACTTCATTTGCACATCTTCAATCAGTTGTCCTTTACATTCTTCATGATTGTTTCAATTCTGATTTTATTTCAATTCTTTTCTGATTTTCTTTCAATTCTCTTCAGTTCAATCTTCTGATGCCAGGCATCTCATTTCTGATTGGTGTTATATGGTACTTATATCTGTCGACATTAGTAACCTATACCACATATATAGTGAAACATTAATTTACTCTATACTTGAATTTAATAGATAAGGAGAATATGTTAACTGTTAAAGTTGATGTGAAAATGATTAGTTTGAAGTATAAATAAAATTCTGAAAGTCATATAATTTATTCAGTATTGAATGATTTAGAGTTATTTAATGTAAAAAACCTGTAAATGAAATTAATTTTAGCTGTTGTTCAGAAAATAATTTATTTGAATCAAAGATTTGAAATACAGCAAGAACATCAAGGTTTACAGAATAAAATGAATCCGTTATTCTATTTCATGGTTTCGCATTAGTTGCATACAGCCTACAACAATTATGATTATTCACAAATGTTTAGCATACTTTAATTTGTGAAGTTTAGATAAATGTTTGAAACGTAACCCAAATTGTAATCATTAAAGGAATAAGGATACAAAGGGGATACATATCGATCTTAACTGTGTTTATTCACACACTTTGCAAAGCTTTTTGTTGTTCTTCTGGTTTGTCAAGGAATCTGGTTGTATTGTTGTGTGAACCACTGATGTCGAAAGATATAAGTATTATGTATCATCAATCGAAAGTGAAATGTCTGGTGGCAGAAGGTTAAGAAGATCGAAGGAAAGAGAACGAGAATAGAGAATGATTGGTGTGAAAACGAAAGAACAATGAAGCCTGAAACGATTGATTGACATTTTGCAAAATAAACAGTCAAGTTTCAGACAATTGATTGACATTTGGCATATGAAGTATTTATTGTATGGTTCTCAGGTTTTACTAAGAAATTCTGTAATTGTGTTGAAATACATTTAGTTATCATCACTGGTGTTTTCGTTCATTACAGTATGAATAATGTTAAATTACAATGATAACAAAGAATACATAATAGAATGAATAAATATTTTTAATAATTTATTTTTCAGGCTCTATTCTTCACATTAATAATCCTAAGGTTATTTTTCTGTTTCATTAGATGAAAATGATTAAAGTCTGTATAATATAAAGGTTGCAGTTGAATTAATTAGTGTGTTATAAACTCAAAATAATAGATTTCATTTTGTCTTACTTTTAAACATTAAAGAGATATCATTAATAATGTATCATTGGGATAGTTAAACATATAATTATGTGCAAAATAATATGCGAAAGGGATTTTTGTGGATATTATAGTAATTTAATAGTTTAGATTATGTATCATTTGAAGCTAGATTATCATTGAATACTTGGAATCATTGGATGGTCGTTCCGTTTTATTGTGGCACTCCTCAGCATTTCGCATTCACGATCCCGCCTTACGAGATTCGAACCCAGGTTTTCCATGGTGGTCTAGCTTCAATTGACTCATGATATCAACTATTAAATTAAAATAATATGCCTTGCCATGATAAATTATAATCAGTAGATGAAAATATATTCTATGAAAAATCGTATGTTAAAAATTGATTCAATGTAGGTTTTGTTGTTTCGTAATTATTTTAATGAGAATAACAATAATCATTCATACATTCAGAAAGTATATAATTTAAAATAAAGGGATGAATTTGTAGTTAAGTACGAGAAAAAATGACATGTTAGGGAGTATAGATGAGAATAAAAGGAAAAGCTGGTTATGTTTATATATTCTGTTAAAATTGGTTTAAGAATACGATGACTTTATTGTTAACCAAAGTAAACCAATGCATTAAAGAGATCCTTTTTGTACATATAAGTCAGGTTTTTTAGAATCAATACCAATTTCTTCAGCTTTACAAAATAAGCGTTATCTTAAACTTCTTGATGAATTATTCTGAAATCGGTGTATAACTATGAATTATCTTCTATTTTGTTATCATATTCATAGTCAATCATATGGAAAAGAATGACACCATTAATAGATTGATTAACTTTTTACTAACCATGTTGGCATGTGTTCACCAACGATCTAGAATAAGGGTCTTTAATTACGGCCAATATAAATAGCCTTACCTTAGTACTTACATTGCTAAAGACGCATAAGTGAGCCTATCGTTACTATCTTACCTTTGATTCACTCCTTCAGTATTGGTTTCATTCAGGAAGTGACGTGTAATTTCACAGGTTTAAAATTTGTTTTAATAAATCTACTTAGTCAATGTGTAAGCACTTTACTTGCTCTAATATTACTTTCGAAATCGAATTTTAGGCAGAGAGGTTTCTTTTCGTTTATGACAGTACATATCTCGTTTTTTTTTGGTTCTTTTACGTAGTTCCTTATGAATTATAAATTACCAATCATAAATTAATTTGTTTAAATTGATACCTAACAAAAAACCCTAAACGTTATTGAATAATCTTTCTAGAATATTTGTAATGTGTAATTTTATGTCTACAAACTATTTTTTATGTTTTATAGAATGTTCTCGTTGGTTATTTCGATATATTTCTAACACGTGAACAACTTTCTTTAAAGCCACCAGTTGATAATCAAATTGTCTATCATAGTGATTAATTCGTTAATGCATTTAACCTTAAATGTACATATGTAAATATAATGCTAATAAATGAAATTATATACGTTAATGTTTATTTCGAAATAATAAAACCATATTCTTAAAGAAGATCGTCTACTTTCTTTGACTGATGGGAAACTCTGTGTGGTTGGTTGTCTTAGCTTTTGTTGGTTACATGTATCGGGTGGGGTGTGTGTTCACACTGATCTTGTGTTAACATACCATGATAATTTTTAAGATAAAAGTTAGTAATCTATCTATGCTGGAGTAATGAATCTCTCATCTATCACCATTGGCAGTTGAAAGCCAACTCAGTGATTATGAAAACAGTTTTTCTATGATTAAATGTACATCCAAAACACTATTTGATAAGAGCAATAGTTTATACGATCCTAAAAACCGGGATATAATGAGTAACCCTACGTTTTAGTTCAAGGATTATTGTGCTGAACTATGGTTTGAAGGCTAGACTACTGAACTGCTGAATAATGTGTCAAAATTCTTAGTCTCTTTAAATCTAGGGATAATAAGGTATTTACATTTTTCATTTTATTGTTGATATTATGGTTTGCTGAAAAAATTAAATGGTGTTAATTTTTAAGAAAAACCCCGAAAATAATGTTCGTTTACTAAAACAGACTTAACTGACCATCCTGACAATTAAATAGGACAGGTAATATAATAAAAATCTATATTGATTAAACACTTAGTGTTTAGACTACAGTAAATTTCTTTCAAAGAAAAAATTTCAACATAATTCTTTTTGTGTGATAAACAGTCGGTTATGAAATCAAGAGGGCAACAGTTAGAACTATATTTATTTAAACTTATAAACATTGGTACATAGAAGCTACAAATATATATGTGCCACACTTCACCATTCGATCAATGTGAGGGATGAGATACTGTCCGGACGCCAAAACCAAAACAGGTGGTTTACTTACGAGGCCACTACTTTATCCTTTGACCTAGGGGTCTAATCCACCAGGCGTGGAGTAAGATTAGGTGATGCAGTTCAATATTAGCCGCTGATCAACAATAGGTTGATATGCCATTTGTTTTCTCATGATCCTGGAGCCACTGGTTTGTAATCAGAATTTTCGAACTCCCCTAGATGGATCCTCCGTACCCACCAACTTGGTTGAAGCACCAGAAATTTACTTTTCGTAAACAGCACCCTTCGCAAGATCAGCAAACACATTTGTTTATAGAGATGTTCAGTATAAATAAGGTTTTAGAAAAGCAAACTCACTGAAATTAAGAGCGAATACTCTTTTATGGTAGACTTGATAATATTGATTGAGAATTGTGTGATGAACATGAATTTTATCATTCTCTAAATAAAAGTATGCACTTCTTGCCTTGAAAATCAGATAAGAATACTGGAATTATATAGTCGAATAACGGTTGATACGCTAGATAATCAACCAAAATTATTTTGTCTGTATGTTGAAGGTGTAGTCGAATGACACAACTCCAGTTAAATCATCCAAGTCTCTATTCAATAATTAAGAGCATCTACTACATACTGAAACATAACGTCAATTCAAATCATTGTAAAATAAGAATATCAGTGTCTTGACATATTTAACGTATACAAATACTATCGTATCACAACTACTTCACACATATAAAACTAACATAGCAAGTCGTAAAAAATATATAGACAACCAATGATGTAAAATAGAACTGCTCTAACATGTATAATAATTGAGTATTGTCATGTGATACTACTTTCACTGTACAGACAGATGTTTTAGTTCTTTTGTCGAAAAGGGGAAGGTAAGTTTTCACCTATTTGTTATGTGATTTATAGGCAAATAAATGGATTATTATAAAGGTGTTTTTGGAGATTGTTAAGTTTCATAGTTTAGATGACAGACGGATTCCAGTCAGACAACAGATGAGAAATATGATGCTCCAGACAGCTGTTTTGTCCTTGTATGTGACTACGCAGCAACATTTATCGACGATCTTACAGACGATCGAATCCAAGAACTTCAAGTCTCACTGTGAGCGATTAACTTTTAGACTACTTAGCTACAATATAATTGTTAACATGTGTAACTCAGAAGAAACAATTATCCAATACTTTCTGATTTTTACTGGTCGCTCACAATCAGTCCGTAACGCAAACTATGGGATTAGTTTACAACTAACTTGTGATTTTTTACGTATATTTATTTATTTATCATGGTAAAATACACTCAACATTTCCATGGAGTTTTCTATGGATAATTTAGGAAGCATAGCAGCACGGATAAGGATTACTACTCCCTTTATAAATAATGTTCATTAATTATTTTTAGCAATAAGGATAGTTAGCACGTTGTTATTTCATAACTCGGGGTTATTAATAAATGGCTGCATACAAAACCAATTTCACTGTAATCGAAACATGCGAAAATTTAATTTTCGGGATGATGGTTGAGTTTAATAGGATTGGCTAGTGTCAGTCAACCTCCACCTGGAGCGCCCTCTGAGTTACTACTGATCCTTAACCCGAGGAAAGAATGAGGTTCTGGGGTAGGGTTAGTGAATCCACTACGTAAAAACCCTTGCTAAAAAACGCCAGCTAGAGAGAAGCATTTAACTCTTTAAAGCTGTTCACTGAACGTTGAAGACTCTTTGTTCTGAAGAGTTAAGACACCTCGAACTGAAAGTCAAGATTCTCTTGAAACTGATAGGCTAGTGCCCATTTCGATAACCAGAGCCGCATTTGATATAAGTTTTCAGACAATATTGATTATTGGGAGGATCATTCGAATAGTGGTGAAAATGGAAAGATACAACCACATGAAAACTGGGATCAGACAGGATGCCTACCTTCGCTTTTCCTCTTTCTGTTTGTTCGAAATTCATTTGGAACTGTGATAATCGCTTTATAGAAATGCCTTAATTTGTATCAGTATTTGATTTGCAACACAGTCATATACATTACTATACAACTATTAGAAAAATACTTTTATTAATCACACCAACCAGATTGGTCAAACATCATACTGAATGATCAATAATTAAATAATCAGGAATTAGGTTATAAGACACCTAACAGTAATAATCATTAGAGTTTATTGCTAAATGGTGTCGAGAAAAATGCTCATCTAGAGAGATTAAGAAACCTTTATGATTGAACTGTTTGCATAGTTCAAGTAGTCGACAATACCTGATATGTGATAAGTAAAGCATAAGCAGTTCTGAACTGATCATTTCTTCCTAGTTTATTTGTCCCTCCATACAGTAATTCCATTACTACAGGTTGATATCAGCTGTACTACATCTTTGTGAATACTTTTATTATCTATTAGCATATTAGTATACCCATTAAATTATTTTCGCAAATATCCTGAGTATTTTATTATTAAGAACGAAAACACACGAAAACAATCTCTTATGACACTTGTAGATCTTGACTAGATTACTTTTACATTTACGTAACCAAAAAATTCACTAATAACTTCTTATAACTTGTGACCTAAATGTCCTGTTAATGTATAACGTAATGATAACGTTAATTAGAGAGCAGTGAATTATCGATCGAACCAAGGACGCGTAAAACACGTGCGAGCAGTTTAGAGTACTTATCGGTCCTGCTTCCTGACGAGCACAGCCAATTAAGTCCAGAACACCAATCTCAGCCTCTGCAATATGAATCATTATATTTCAACCATACTGAGTTTATATACCAATCAAACCGACCACAACGTACAAATGAAATGAGCACAACATTTGAACAGGAATTAGCCAGATGTGGCTGTGAATGAGGGAGGTAGCGATTAACAAACAGGGAACAGTTCATGAATGGTAAATCGTATAACAATAGTTCATAGATCAAAATAAAGCTCATGTTTATGAAGAGTTTAGCTATTTAACAGTTATACGATAAAAATATACGCATAATATTGGTCCATAAATGGATCTCAAAAGTTGCCATTCATTATGCTTATTAGGACCTAACATAACTAATGGTTTTATGCTCTTTAAAATAATAATTTCATTATTGAATAATTTTTTAAATTAAATTTAAAATTAAAATAAATAATGTTAGATTTATATCAGAAGGGGTTTTGTGGAGATTGTAGTAATTTCAATAGTTGAGACTATGAGTCAATTGAAGCTAGACCACCATGGAAAACCTGGAAACACTGGAAGGCCGTTTCGTTCTATTGTAAGACTCCTCAGCATTGCGCATCCACAACCCCGCCTCGCGGGATTCAAACCCAGGATCTGTCAATCTCGCGCCAGGCGCTTAACTAACTAGACCATTGAGCCGGCATCCAACGGCGTTAATGTCTAACTTCAACAAATCCATGAAATTGAGCGACACATCCACCATTGTCTGCAGTGAGTTACTATCTCACGACTGACCCGGTTGAACCCCACTGGTCATTACTTCCCACTAGAACTCCAGGATATACTTCTTGAAGCCAGTCATCAGTGAGCATATGTTGATTAGTATCAGAAGGGGTTTTGTGGAGATTGTAGTCATTTTAATAGTTGAGATCATGAGATGAGGATTCGAATCTTGCGATGCGTGATCGTGGATGCTCACTGCTGAGGAGTCTCACAATAAGACGAAACGACCATCCAGTGCTACCAGGTTTTCCATAGTGGGCTAGTTTCGATTGACTCATGATTTCAACTGTTGAAATATTAGATTTCTTTAAATTTCCTATTATATTATTAATAAACAAAACATAATATATTTTCATTTCATTAATTATTCAATTCAATAAATAATTAAATACAATTTATTCATTTTAATTTTTATATTTAACTAAACAATCAAATAGAATTTTTATTATTTAAATATTATCACTCAACCAATTCATATTATTGAACTTTATTATAAAAGTACATAAAATTGACAGTTTCTTTTCTAGAGAAAAAGAAAAGAAAAGAAAAACAAATCAAAATCAACCTTTATATATATATACACTGTATAAATTAATATAATTTGATAGTGGACTAGATTAATATTAGTTGTTTATGTAAATAT